CCATATAAGTGGAGACATTATCCAGGAATTATACACCAGTTTTAAACATTACAGTTGCACACAGATGTATTGGTGAGCGGATGTGACATTGCTACAGACTGGATTCAGGTAATTCAAATAACCAAATGAAGTTATTCACAATATTCAGTGACAACAACAACCTCCACTATACACTTGAGACCAAAATGTGGAAAAGCTGATCAACACATCAACTTTTCTTACCTGAATTTCGTCACATTTTATGAGCTTTTCCACTTCAGTCTGGCTGAGCAGCATGAACTCCTCATGCTGCACCACCTCGGAGAAATGCTTTTGGGAAAAAAGCTCAGCGGCCTGCATCAGGTCGAGGCAATTGTGAGTTTCGGCAAAGTCACGAATGCCCAGACAGTTGGAAGGATCAAGCTGACTCTCCAAAAAATCACAACATGCTCTTTTCACCCCTGAGGAAAACAAATGTACATTTTTACATAGACACGTGTATCATTTAAATACAGATGATGAATTAATTTAAAGTTTTAGCTCAAAATAAAAAATTAGCAAATAATAATTATAACAGTTTCTGCTAGAGGTCTGGTAAACACAACAAAGAAAGACCAGTAGCCTTCAATCGGATAACATTCTATAACAAAACATTTCTTTAAAGGCAACGGGACTTACTCATTTGAGACTTAATGTAAGGCCTATAAACCCTTCTAAGGCCTTTTTGAGGAACTGAATTTATTGGTTAATAAGACTTTTCTATGACCTGCAAATTATCCTGTTGCTGTACTTTATTAGCTGGCTTAAGCTGGTTCGCCAAAACCCACCTTTAAGCTGCAGCAGACACGCTGCTGGGAGCAGTTCTTGTACGTTCTCCACTGTGACCAGCACCGTCTCCGTGTAGACAAAGTCCAAGAGGATCTCCATAGTCGAAGCAGTGAGCCCTTGGATGTCGACGAAAGATTTCCCCTTCTCTGCCAACTGCAGAGCCACAACAACACAGATCCTCAGGTGCAATAACAAGAAACATGCCATTAAGGATTGTCTTATGAACAGAGGATTAGAAAGTATTTTTTCATTTCAAGACATATGTAATATGTTTAGTACAGAAGATGCAAATAATTTGATATATGTACTTGATAGCATTGAGTCCTCAACAACTTAAGAGTTTTAGTTTTACCTCACTGGTGAACATGGCACAAAAGTAGTCACTGCAGGCAGCCAAGACAATACGGTGAGCTGGAAAATCTGTGTTCTCCACTCTCAGAGTGATATCGCAGAGTGTGTTGCTCTTGCGAAGTGAGTTCATTGCGTTGAGGATGGACTTGGCGTGGGAATTGGTCATGATGTCTTTGGGAGCCATGCTGCCTCGAAGGTCTCTCGAGGAGCTCGAACTGCTGAAGGAATCTAAAAATAAACAGAAACGCCTGTTGACAACAACAAACCCCTCACATCTTCAGCATTTGTACACACTTAATGTAGGTATGAGAGGACCCGCTCCTGATGTAAATATAAAGTATTTAGATATAAAAAGCCCATTTTAGCGTAAAGAAAACAACAATTCGTACAATTTAGATGAAACACACCAGAGATAACATCACTTGGATTATATATAGATATAAATAGATCCCTTTAATCTGACACACTGAACCTTTAATAAAGATAATTCACTGTAGGTTACCCCCAGATCATATCAATATCTCCCACAATGTTAAAAATACCATTGGGACGTAAGTCAATGACTGAAATAGTCCTTTCTCCAGTGCTGACACTTCAGTATTACCTCAGTAACATTTGTAAAGTATTCACATTAACTGTGTTTATCGTGGTAACGTCACTAGTACCAATGCAACTTACCGTTAAAAGATCTGAACACTTTTTCCACCACTGGGAGGCAATAGCTATAGCTACACATTAGCTAGCAGCAGCCACCGACAGCTAACGCCAACGCTACACAACAACAACAACAACAACAACAGTGAAGACACAGCCGGTGGTCAGAGGAGACAACACGAGAAGCGACACACAGACACACACCGGGACTCATCGGGAGTTTTCATAATACCTGTCACTGCTGCACCGCTGGCTCAAAAACGCCTAAGTGGCTAAGTTGCTTTAGCTGCTAGCTAACGTCAGTAGCACCAAAGTGTCCCCTGTCCCCGGTTCCTGTTGTCGGGTCAGAAACCTGCTGGGCTCCGTCTAATCCATGGTGACCTCCGCTGGGTCGCTGTGAGCGCGGCCTCCTCCACGACACACGTGTCCGCAGACTCACGCCAGCGCTCCCATGTTCTCACCGGGACGAGTTTGACTCCGCTGTTCGGTGAAGACCCTCCGCAGGTCGCATCAGCTGCTCACCGACCGCACATAAACACACCACGGTGCGTGGCTGTGCGTGGCTGTGCGTGCGTGCGCGCTCCCCGGGGCCTGACGCCAGGGATGCGCGCACCTCCATCATTTCCTTTCTGCTCCAACGCTATAATCAAATTATTATTATTATTATTATTATTATTTATTCATGGTGCACATAAGGAATAAAATTCAAAGTGGTACACAAACTGAAAACAATGGTTGAATATAAAAGTAAATAAATAGTAATCGTGATAATCATAGTATCGATAAAAAGGACTCAATAACCTGGAACTACGGTGGCCGGGAGAGCTCAACACACTGCAAATTAAGAAAACGACCTCATCAACACATGCAAATACAGACACGTGCTGCAAACAGTGAATACTACACAGGAAATGTTTCCAGGGGACCAAAAAAAGTGATGAACCTGTCTGTAGTTCAACGTTTTGTTGAAGTTCCATCACCACTGACGAGAAGCAGACTTCAATAACCTCTCAAAGCTTTGAGCATTTTCCCTGTCTCCCTCTTTATCGCGTTAACATCTCACCAAGACTTGACTTCTTCCCCAGAGTCCTCGAGCTGTGCAGAACCAGGATCTGCTGCTGCGGCCGCATCGTGGATCGGGATGGTGGATCGTAGATTGTGATCGTGGACCATCGATCATGACACCGTGATAGCAGCTGATCTTGGATCATGATCGTGGTGGCAGCCGATCTTGGATGATGATTAAAACAAGATTGCTTGATACGCCTACATGATACACAATGTGCCTCCATGATACACAATGTGCCTCCATGATACACAATGTGCCTCCATGATACACAATGTGCCTACACACATTTTCTACCTTTACTGGAACCAACTCAATTCATTTGTCATTGCTGCTCTCTTCATCTTTATCAGACATTTTCTTATGTATAGATACTTCAGACATTGACACACTTTCACAAACTGTTTCTTCTAATCCATGTTGTAAATACTGCAAGTTTGTTGATGTGATCAGTGACATGTTGTACCTGGATGACACTTGCCTCTGGACTCGGTGAGTGACGTCTGTCTCGCTTCAAGAGGTTTGTGGTGTTGCCCCAGAACATCTCAGTCCTCCCACACGCACACACACACACAGCACTGTTGCTGTTCTGAGAATTGAAAAAGAGCATCTGTGGTCGGCCATCGTCAGTGTCAACTCTCTGCTCAGTAGCTCAGTGGCTTATACATTTATAGAACTATTGTCACATGTGACAGGTGGAAGGAGAAGTAGTTCCTTTATCAACTGGATATCATTTAGACTAGATCCTGGTGATGGGGTAGTTTCTTCCTACTGTGTAATATTTGGGATCGGAAGTATCAACACAGCCCTACAATGCTTGAAGATAAAAAATTAGTAAAATATTTAAAACAATAGCTTATTTCTCAAAACCAAAATGTTATGGTTATATTCTTACGTTTAGTTTTAAACTCTCTGGATCTGGATTTGTCTGTATCAGTTAAAGGAAACCGATTATTCCTCTAATTAATTTAAAAGCTTCACCAAATGTCATACTTCTCTCTGTGAAGCTGCGTGGGGATCTATTAGGAAATTACAGATGTGAAAAAGAAAGTGATACTGTTTATCTAAAAGTGTATTTTTCCTGTTCCTTATCTGCTGCACAAACACTTCCGGTTGGACCTGTAATGTTATTCTGAGTCACACCTTGTCCCATTCAAATTTCATTCATTTGCTGAACTGTTTCCTAAATGGGTAAAGTAGTTTTTCTTCTAGAATAACAACTGAGCCAGAAGCTGTTGTTTCTACAGTGAGAGAGAACAAGTTATAAACAAAGAGACGTTTTACTTTATTTATTTCATACTTTTTGTATTTTGAGAGGATTTAGAAGTGAAAGATAGAAGCAAGAATCATCATCACGTTTTCATCTACTTCTTCTTTGAGGTTTAGCAGTAGCTGACATCCTCAGTGTTGTATTATACTGCCACTCAATGGAGCTTCTTATGTTTCAGTTTGTTCTTTAATAACTGTACAAACAAAGATGTCATGATCCACAGTCTGCATTGGATCACAGGCATCATAGTTTAGTCTAAATAGCATTGCTTTACTCCATTTGATTTACAAGTTGTTCCCTTTTAAAAAATTGTTCCAGTCCAACTACTCCTTTATTCCAATGAATGCACATGAGCAGATTAAAATCCTGTTTTACGCCCAGACAAGAATATGATGTATCTGTAAAAGAAAAGACGAATGAAAAGAAAAGAATAGAAAAGACAAAAGGATAAAAAAGAAGGGGAAAGAAAAGTAAAAATATATAAATATATATATATATAAAATAATATAAAAGATTGGAATAAAATAAAAAATAAATGCATAAAGTAAAAATAAAATAAAAAATAAATAAAAAAGTAAAAAGAAAACAAAAAAATAAAAAAATAAATAAAAACTAAAACTAAGAATAAAAAAGAACATAAAATAATAATTAAGAAATAAAAATAAAACAAGGAATAGAAAAGAACATAAAATAATTAAAAAATCTAAAATAAAACAAAGAATAAAAAAGAACATACAAGACTAAAAAAGAATAAGAATAAAAAGGAATAAAAAATAAAGCAAAGAACTTAAAAGAATAAAAAAACTCATTTATCAGTTGTTTTTTTTTTTCTACTGTGACGACAGCAGCAGCTCGGGTGTGTGGGCGGAGCCTGCGGCGTGTTTCCGCTCTGAGGCCGAACAGACGAAGCTGATCTACGCAGGAAAATCTACCGACGAGCGGCGGAACGTTTATTTAACCCGGAGACTGAGCTCCAGACTTCACGTGTCGAATCTACCGGGAGCTCGGTATCTGCACCGAGGTTAGAGGAGGAGGAGGAGGCCGAAGAGGAAGAAGCAGCCGGAGCAGGAGGCAGCTGGACTGTCCGCTATGGAAGCCGAGTTTCGGGAAATCGATGACAACGGGAGCTGGAGCTGCGTCTACCAGGTAAGAGCTCCCGGTAAATCCCGGTGGAACCGGACCGTCCGCGGTCCCGGTCACTTCTAGGCCTTTCTACCGCAGCGTGTTTCCGCTCGGTCCGGCGGCTGAGCTCCGAGTCCGGGTTCCGCCTGCTCGACCAGTCCGATGATTGATGAGTGTGTCTGGGTCTCTACCCGAGAACCACGTCCCATCACCGGCTCGCTTCATGCTGCGGTCCCCGGTACAACGAGGCGGTTCGGGGGGTTGATTCACTGAAATACTCCGCAGTTATGGAGGAAGTAACCACAGCTTTAGTTAATACTCCATTACTAGTAACTGACCTGCTTTACAAATGCAAATGATCAAATAACCTGTAAGAATTATAAGTCATCGTGATTATTTCCACACAAATATATAAACTATATCTTGTATCATTCATTGATAAGTTCATTGTCTATTAAAATTCAGAAAATGGTGGAAAGTGTCCACCTCTGTAATTCTTTTCAGATGTCTAGTTAAGTTTGACCAACATTTCAATTTCAAAACCCAAAGATGGTTAATTATAGTTACTGAGAAACGTATTATCTTGTAAAGCTGTTCCACGATCCAGCTCATGTAGTTCATCTTCAAAAAAAAGCCCCTAAAATATTTCAGTGAAAAGGTGGAACCAGAGAATTTTATCCATCTCACTTAAAAACATAAATCCACATAATAAATGGATAAAAATGGCTGATTAATTATCTGTCAGCTGACTAATGGTTGCGGCTCCATTAATCAGGAGAATCTACTTAAAGGTAAAAGGATTCAATGCAGAGAGATGACTTTTGTGACTGTTATATCATTATATATTTATCAATTACTGTCACTTGTATGAATGTTCAAGCAGCATTTTGATGCAGCTGTGGCTGAGGGGGTAGAGCGGTGGTCCTCTAAACAGCAGGTCGGCAGTGTGAATCATCTGGTGTTATTATATGTGTTACACATGTTACCCTCCCCTATTTTTCTCATGGGAAGGATCCTTTAAACTGAAAACCTCCTTATTATCTCACACATGGTTTGATGCTGTTTTAGAGCACAGAGAACAATTCATACTGCTTTAGACCTCTAATGTCACATAAATGTAATGTTATGTAATTATTGTTTCATTCTGTCACAGGAGATCCGTCACCAGTCTTGTGAACTGCCATGCAAATTTGCCAAACTACCCGAAAATAAGAATCGGAATCGCTACAGAGACGTGAGCCCATGTGAGTCTTCCCTCCCCTCGATGCCTCGATGCACTTCAACAGACAGTCTTAAACATTTCATTTATTCTTTTTCAAATTACTCACTGCTCCTGGCACAGCTCTCTGCCCAGTGGTGAGTGATTCTTTGAAGGCTCTGAGTCGTAAGAGTCTCCCACAGCAGAGGGTTACACAGAGATGATGATCTCAGGCTCAAGTATCGTAATGATGACGTACGGTTAGCATTACACAATGGAGACAACTTTGCATCACTGCGAGGGACAGACTGACGCTAAACAGGATGTGACTTTCAATTCATGACTTTGGTTATTACTGCGTATTTATAAAGGTTGTGGCTGTGGTGGTGGCAGCACACGCGTGTAGAGAGGAGTGAGGTCAGCAGGAGATTAGACTGGAAATATAAGGTTTTCTTCAGACTTCAGGAAAATCAGATTTAATCCTCAGGTCAGCCGTCACCTCCTGCATGTTGTAACGATGAGTGATGGCAACTATCAGTAACTAAGTAGTGACATTGACTTTGGTTTGGATTGAGTTGTTTTTGTTGAACAGACTTTCTAAAACCAAATTTGAATAAAATTAATATTTAAGGGTTCTGTGCTCTGCTGAGTCTCTTTGTAGTTCTTGTATAACATGCTTTCCTGTAAAGCAATGCAACACTTGAACCATGTTGTTTCCTCTTTTCACACTTAATGAACAATGCTGACTGGTTGTGCTTGAGTGGATATGAAGAAAAGATGGTGCCTCAGTTTTTAAAGTTGAAAGCTACAGACAGACCATTTCTCAGCAGCTTTGTTGTTCTGAGAGTTGCCTGTAGATTCCCTGGAGGTTGTGACATATACAAAACAGACAAATATCGTATTGACATGATTCCTCATGATTCTTTTTTTCTTCTCCTCAGTCGACCACAGCAGAATATGTCTGCAGCTGGGAGCCAACAACTACATCAATGCCAGCCTCATCACAGTAGAGGAGGCAAAGAGGAACTATATCCTCACTCAGGTAAGTGAAGAGGTGAAGGTTCAGTTCTGCTGCAGTTGAACAGTGATAATCCTCATTTATACTTTATATTAATCCAGCAAATAACGTATAATAATGAAATCGGTTGTGCTTTTCATGATAATAAAAAAAAAAGAACATCTGTTATCTTTGTTGGTTATAATAGAAGACTGTTTGCCAACTATAACTCTTGAGGCCGAAGTATAAATAGATAATATTGTAAAAATCATAAAGTTCTAAGCACATGAAATGTCCCCATAGCTGCATCTGATAAACCATTTATTAAATGTAGTGCACACTGCTTATAGAGGTAAAAAAGTGGGACTTGAAGTAAAATAATAATTTCCATTCAATGTTAAAACATGGATTCAATTAATTTGTTTAATCCCAGAAACATTATCAACAGCAGAAAGTACGTTTTGAAGCCTGTTAGCTTCCTGTCAGATCGGCCGTGACGTAGCCTGAGAGACGAAATGTGTGATGTTGTGATTTCACGGTAATCGTTCATTCACAGCTTCCATCACCTCACCTGGATTTGGCAGCTGGACAGTACGAGGTCTAGGTTTGTAAATCAAAGGAAAATAGGATTTTGAAAAACGAGGGAGTCAAATACAAACTCCACATCCCCGGCAAAAATTTAGCTGGAGTTTAGAAAGTGATGGGACTGGAATATTCAGGCCGCACACTGAAGATTCTGTGTACTTTAAAGAATATTATGATCAATCAATTACGTAGTCCGTAAGATCAGTGCTATGACCGTACCTACTAGGTAACTTGATCCTCTGTGTCAGAACCTTTTCCACTCACTACTGGGGTCCCTCAAGGTTCCATCCTGGGTCCCCTCCTTTTGTCTCTTTACACCAACTCTCTCGGCTCTGTTATTCACTCACATGGCTTTTCCTACCACAGCTACGCAGATGACAGCCAAATAATTCTCTCTTGTCCCCAGTCTGAATCACAGGTAGCAGCACGTATCTCTGCCTGTCTGACTGACATCTCTCAGTGTATGTCCACACACCACTTAAAAATCAACCTTGACAAGACCGAGCTACTTTTCACCCAGGGAAGGGCTCTCCCACCCATGACCTTACTATCACCACCGACAACTCTGTGGAAGCCCCCGCCCAGACCACAGGGAACCCGGGTGTGACACCCTACAGTCAACTCTCTCTTACCGCCAACATTGCTGAAACAACTCGATCGTGTAGATACATGCTGCACAACATCTGGAGAACATGTCCCCTTCTCACTCAGGTTCTGGTCCAGGCTCTTGTCATATCCCTCCCCTCCTCCACTCCCATCACTTGTTACCAGTGGCTGCTCGTGTCAGCTTCAACACACTAGTATTTGCGTACCGTGCTGCGAAAGGATCGGGCCCAGTCTACATCAAGGAGGTGGTTAAACCTTTACACCCCAGCCCGTCCACTTTGCTCTGCATCTGCCGATCGGCTGCTCCCTCACTGCCAGGGAAACTTAGCCACTCAACAAAATCACGACCGTTTGCTGTCCTGGCTCCCAAATGGTGGACTGAGCTCAGGACAGCAGAGAGTCTACCCATCTTCTGTCGCAGGCTAAAGACCCATCTCTTCCAAATTCACCTTGGTTAAGAAGATGATGGTCTAATAACCATCGTCAACTCTGATGTTGAAAAAAATTAAAAGATAAATAAAGTTAGTTGCATTTATATACTGCACTTTCATGTAGCTCTCTGTAGTTTGGCTTTTTTAAAACTAATGTACTTGATTCTTGCTGCTCTGGGTTTGTACCCTCATGGTTGAATGCACTTATTGTATTGGATAAAAGCTAAATGATATGTAATGTAATTGTACAGAATAAAATCCTATATATATATATACGCTACTGCTATATATACTTTTTTTTTTTTTTTTCCTTTTTAGGGACCCCTTCCAAACACATGTGGCCACTTCTGGGAGATGGTGTGGGAGCAGAGGAGCCGCGGTGTGGTGATGTTGAACCGAGTCATAGAGAAAGGATCTGTAAGAAGTTTCTCCTCATATTCTAACGTAGTTTTCTGTCTGTCAAACTGATTGTAACTTCCCTTTGTTTGCCTTCAGATCAAGTGTGCCCAGTATTGGCCATTCAGAGAAGAGAAAGATGCTATTTTTGAAGATACCAACTTCAAGCTCACCCTCATCTCAGAAGACATCAAATCTTACTACACAGTCCGTGTGCTGGAGCTGGAAAATCTGTCTGTAAGTTTTTAGTGTGTGTACAAGTTGACCTGGTTCCAAATGAGCGCAACACTTCTTTTAGCATAGGTTCACAAGTTTTCTAATCTTGAAACAACAAACAGGTGCTGATATAAACCTTGAAACAGGTTTCACTTGCTGGTGTTGTTCCTCCTGTTTGTGCTGGTCATTAAAATATCCCTTCCAAAGTTTACTGTAGTTCAGGTTATGCAGTTACAAATTCAAAAATGTGTTACATTTGAAGTAAAAGGGGGCTGCAGGATTAGGAATTAGTCAAATCAAGTCTATCTAGTACATTTATTGAATTGGTCTTCCCTCTGATCTTTCTCTGCAGACTCAGGAGACCCGTGAGATTTTACACTTTCACTACACCACCTGGCCTGACTTCGGGGTACCAGAGTCTCCGGCCTCCTTCCTTAACTTCCTGTTCAAGGTGCGAGAGTCTGGGTGTCTGAATTCAGATGAGGGACCAGTGGTGGTTCACTGCAGCGCTGGCATCGGTCGCTCTGGGACCTTTTGTCTTGTGGACACCTGCCTCTTGTTGGTTTGTATCTTTTTTACCTTCTATATTTACATTGAGACTGAAATTACGTCACACTTTTAGAGAAGTATTACAGTAAAATTACTCTAAAACGTGGTCATCACTATTAAGTAAACAATGGAGGCAAACTCACTCTAGAACCTGTCATTTCTCAGGTATCATATTTATATCTGTTCACTGTTAAATCTAGATGTCCAAACGTAAGGAACCGTCTTCAGTTCGTATTCGCGATGTGCTGCTGGAGATGCGGCGCTATCGAATGGGCCTGATTCAGACAGCAGATCAACTTCGCTTCTCCTACCTCGCTGTCAATGAAGGTGCTAAGTACATCAAGGGAGATACATCCCTGCAGGCAAGTCTTCTTTCTACAGGGTGTATGGTAATTTGCCACGAGAAATAAAAAAACATATAATCTACTAATCCTCAGTTAATTTCAAGTATTTAATGCAAATAATGAAATGGATTGTGTTTTTGTTTTTTTTGAAGGAGTCATGGAAAGAGCTGTCCAACGAGGAAGACGATCCTCCAGAGTTCACCCCTCCTCCTCCTCTTCCTCCTCCCAGAGACCCTTACAATGGCAAAATTGAGCCGTCTTTTTTCCCGGAAAATGATGAAATTGTCCGACACAAGCAGACCTGGACTTTGGGGTATTCATCCGTTTAATCTGTTTATTACTGTCAGTTTGTTTGTGTTTGAACCAGCTGTTTAGAAACCCGGAGAACAGATTTGTGCCATGCCTGTTAATGTAGGAAAACGTGGTTAAATGAAATGCTGCACGTTGAGGACAAATCTGATCTAATGAAACAAAAAACAAATCTCTGTAAAGCTCTTTACAGGAACCTTGGGACTGTTTGTACCAGGTGTTAACATCTGTCCTGAGTGTGCAGTGCTAAGTTCAGGTCTGAAGGCCCCTAAATGCGTCCTGAGATCTGATCACTCACACTGGAAAGCTCTGCTCTCTTCTACAACTGTGCTCTTCTCTGCTCTCTTACGTTCTTTTGTCATCCAGGTCCTCACCAGAGTCAGAGCTGCGAAAGAGGAACATTGCTGATGCACCGCCTCCCCCTGATCAGGCTGACCAGCTAGATGGTTACACGGTAATCCAAGAGCCGACCTCCGAGGCTCCAACCAAATCCCAGCAGCAGCGCGAGCCCGAGAATCGGGAGTCGGCCAAGGCAGCGGAGCAGCCAAAGGAAAGCCCTCCTGTGCCAGGGGCTTGGTCCCCTCTACTAGCCAACATGTGCCTGTGCACGGCGCTGGCTCTCAGTGCTTATGTCTGTTATCGGGCGTATTTCCACTGATGTCTGTCCCTCCTCCTTTATGTTTCTCCTCCCCGTCTCTCCACTGAGAAAAGTGGACTGCGCTGGCCAATCAGCCTGCTTTGACTCTGGGTCCTCATCACCCAACCAAACCTTCTGTCAGTGTGTCATCATGGATGCTCAGGGCCTCAGTTTTTCAGGTGTGTTGAATATGTGTAAACACAGACTCAACAATACAATGACACGTTTTGCAATCAGTAGTTTGTTTTAGCTCCCTGCTCCGTGTACCAGGATGAATGGCCCATTTTACACTTTATTTACCAAATGAGTTCTTCCATTTCAATCTTTATCAATGTGTCCGTTGTGATTTCTCATTTTCCCTTAGTTCTCTTACTCAAATCATCAATCCAGATCTTTGACCAGCCTGCCTGAAAATATTCTAGTAAGGTAGACGATTTAAAAACATTCTTGAGTTCTGGGTCAATTTTAAATGGTGTGTATTTGTATACACACAGAGCATCTCCTTGCAGTACTTTCTCGATCATACATCGCTCATACACTGCCGGCACAGCAGTCGGGCCCTTCTGATTCGTGGGCAACCCCCTTCTACCTCCTAAGCCCCAGCCGCCCATTAAACCTGTAAAATAAGGTGAAGTGTGTAAAAGTAAGACGGAGTGAATCCTGTTTCCACTAGATAAGAGATGCATGTTGGGATGGGCACTGACATTGTTATCTGCCCTCAGTTGTGGGCTGCAGGAGACTGGTCCGCTCAGTGAGAAGTATTAATACATTTACTGGACATTAAATGTGAGATATGTATCCGAGGCGTTCTTCTCTCCCTGGTAGCTCAACAGTGACACAGACTGGTAAACAGTCTGTGTTAATAAAGCAGCTTTCTAGTCTTGATGACCACTCAAAGAGCTTCACCTTTTCACACACTCATTCATACAGTGCATCTATGTGCAGCCCTTTCTCTCTCACACACCACTCACACTGTCGCCACAGCCATCTTTCAACATTTAGGGTTCAGTACCTTGCCCAAGGACACTTGTGGAATAGGGAAAACTGGGATCGAACTGCCAACCTTCTGCTTAGAGGACAATACGCTCTTCCCACTTGAACAGAACGACTCTGAAAACAAAATGGTGCAGGAAGAGGGTGATATGTGACTATTTCCATTTGCCTGGCATTCTTTAATTGACACTGGAATGATATAGACATCTTAAGATGTTTGGGTTTTTTTTTTTTTAAAGGTCTTTCTTTAAAGGCTTTTCCTCCTTTTTCAGTCAGTGGATAAAAATGTTTGGAGGATTTTCACAGCAAGAGAATGTGTAACATAACCTGAAAGCAGCTGATGCATGTAATCGAATGTCAGACACAAAGTAGCTCACGCCTGTTTCGCCAGCAATACAAACCCTTAATAACGTGTCACCCTTTATGTTAACGAAGTCAGTGTCACAGGTAACCGAGGATTTTGAACAAACCAAAAATCAAACACCAGCACAGGGATGAAAACAATACACTGTAGTAATAATCTGTTGCATCGTGGCGCAGCCCCGAGCTGCCAATGTTTTGTATGATTATGTTCTTTTAAAGCATGCTGCATTTGTGAATCAACAGGTTTGTCCTAAGAAGAGATTAGTTGAGCTGCTAGCATTGAGTTTAATTTGTGACTCGCCAGAGTTCAGTGCTTGAGTCTGACAGCTGTACCTTCCTTTAGAATGTATGAATGTCCCGTCCGAGGACAAACCCTTATTATTAGATTATATATTTTTTTCAAATCAGGTTTCAGTGTGCTGAGTTGTTTTTTTGTTTTTTTTTCTGCTTTAGCAAGGGATGAAATCTCAGCACCTGTGCAGCCATTGCACCAGGTTTCCCTGTTTTTCTACACTTACGCTGAGCTTAAAAACATGTATTTTTTTATTTACATTTGTTGTTTTACTTTTTAAATAAAAATTAAAAAATCTACAGATTTACTTTGTTGTTTTTTGGGATCAAAGTTGCGGCTCTAACCTCGTCCTCAGTCTAACTTCTGGGACCATGACTCCGGTAATAAAAGATTACTCAACATTGGTTTGATTTCATTGGTAGGTCAGTAGCACGAACAGTGATGTTAACAACAGCGAAATTATTTTAGGGTCAGGCAACTACACCACAAACCACTTCTTAAAACTATGATATATATATTAATATTTATAAGTTTGTTTATTTATAGGTAGAGTAGCTTTTTCCAACCTGGTCTCAGAAGTGTTTCCAGTTCTCTTAATTTTGTGACCTACCTTTTTTCAAGATAACGTGTCTAATCTTATTTCATGAAACTGATCCGTGGTCACAATGAGTCAAAGCAAGAAGAATATTTTGTCTCATTTAAGTCTGATGTGTTGAAATCATGGTAAGTGTATTTCTTTCATACAGTCAGTAAGAGAAATATATTAAAACAAAATAAAAATAACCCAAATCAAATAAAAAAAAGGACATCTGAGAAGTAAAGCAGGCTGCTTGTGTAAAGATTTGACAACAGGAATCATTTTCTCAATTCCCCTGGTCCGAGCTTTGTGTTCATTTAGTTAATCCATCAATGATAAATGATGTTGTTGATAGATTGATAATAATTATGTCAGAAACTCCGGACGTCCTTTTTCAGGTCACAAATAACTATTGGTAGTTTTCACAGCCCTAAAGTTCAAGCAGCTCTTATTGAAGGTTTATAACTGATCTGTAAAAAGTTAGAAAATGATTTATTACCATTAATACAAACATCTTTACATTTCTTGTATTACATTGCAGAGATTATATTTAACATTATGAGCAGGGCTATTTCCCTTCATTCATACGGGGGGAGTGTTTTGAATATACCACCAGGGGGCGCTGTGGGATTAAACAGACTCAGACTCTTCTCTCAGTGAAAATGGAGGCATGGCTTCTTGTTGCAACTCACTCTTTCCTGTTGTCTGTTCCGGGGTTTACTCAGCAGTTGTGTTATAATAACAGTGAGGTGGACTCAGGAGCAGACCTGCAGTTCACAGAGGGACAGTGATGCTTCCAATGTTGGTCTCATTTGATCCCAATTCTAAATACTTCCATTTATACAGGAACTATTTACCTTTCTTAAATTCTAATATATATATTCTAACTGCTCTTGTCTCAACCATAACTGGTGTCAAATGATTTCAAAACAGTTTGTTTTTGATACACGGACACACAAACTTCTGAGGTTGATGTACATGCGCCTCCGAAATAAACTAAAGACCCAAGAATGAGTTTCACCGTTGTGTACACACACCAGCACAATGGTTCCGTTTCAATCTAATAACATTTACACTGGGGAAGAACACGTCTGGAGACACTTGAATTGCTCGAGCAAACTCTTGGCTCAGGCCCGGGTGAACAAGCACAGATGATTTAGCAAGAATCTTGGCTAGAACTTCCCGTTCCTGGGAAATACGAGGCAGGCACTGTTACACGCCGTACAGGAATGCAACTGTAACAGTGAGTAATGGCACTCCCACCACTGCTCTGCTGAAGCAGGCCAGAACAAGTTGTTGTAGGAAAACTACAATCAAGGTATGACCTGGGACCGGAAGTCATTTAAAGACACAGTGTTGAAATGTCATTACATATATTCTGTTTGCTGTGATTGTCATTTTATTTCTCATTACAAATAAGTGAAATGACATTTTGAATATATGTCATCAATTCTTATGTCATCTCAGAGGCCTCTGTTTTTCTTTACATGTGATTTTAATGAGAAACTCAAGTTCATTTTTCAGGCATATGTGAAAATAAAATGAGATCTCCTGCAGTGGCCGATTACTCAGCCCAACTGTGCAAAATGCTGACTCCACAGTCACAATCGACCAGAAAGGATATCTGCCCTGCCCTGCTGACTCTGTCCCCAGTTTAGTTATTAACCTGGAACTTCCCAATGACCGGCCAGCAGTGAGGGAGGCAGGGAGGGACGATCTTTGACTGTGAGTCTCTTTTGTAGACATGCAGATCATTTTCACAAGGAGCGAAGCAGGGATCAGGAAATTCCTGAATGTGAGGGGAGTCAGGTCTTTCCAAGCATGACGCAGCAGAGTCTGAGTCACTGCACACGCAAGCAGTGTACAATGGAGGCATGTTACCGAGAAGTGTGAGGTGCACCATGTCTCTTCATGCCCTTATCATTTCAAAAGGAGTCAATGAGGCCTTGACAGCTTTCAGTATCGACCAGTGCCAGAACTCACTACATTTACTCAGTACTTTGACTAAGTGCATATTTGAAGCACTTCTCCTGGAATATTTAACATTTCGTTTGTTTTTACGTTTGTGCTACACTACATTTCATCGCTCATTGAAAACTTAATACATAGTCTGTACAGCAATAATGAAGCAAGCAGTTTTCTGCTATAGACTAAAGTTACGGACATCTTGCAGTAACTTGATACAGAGCATGTGAGTGGCTTTGATCAAACTTTCTGCAACAGAGCAAACAAGCAAAATATGTATTATGTTAAGACTTGCAGCAGAACTTTGTTTTTTTTAATTTCTCTCCAACGACCTCAATCATCTCACACCTCAGATTTATCTCACGGCCAAACTGGAGAAAACTTAGTTAAAACCTGATCAATTAGTTAAAACGATGTCAAATTCAAGCCGGATACAACAGTAAAATGTTAAGTAAGATATCAGTCAGCCCTTTTTATGCAAAACAAGTACTTTCCCCTTTTACATTTCTAAGTAGCCATACTTTTAGCATTTATTTGTCGACCTGCATTCTTTACTTAAACATGGCATTGTATGTAGAGCATTGAACTTTTTCCTAACAAGGAACTTGATTGCTCAAATGGAAAAGCACTGTGTTGCTGCTCTCATTAAACTGCAGCCTCTCTGTCAGCGGATGATCTCTTTGGTTACTGTTGAGACATTCACCCATGAGCAGTTCCTGTTCCTGTTCCTGTCTCCCTGCTGCTACTGTTGAGGGTCAACCGTCAGACTCACACACACACCGATGTCACAGACAGTACCTCCACTGTCATAGCTAGTGCTTGTATGTAGGTCATAGCGTAAACACTACGAGATTGGAGCTGGTGTTTCCTCCTTGGTGTACGCTTCAAAGCCTGATGACGTCGACATGTGGTCCATGTATGTTATTTGGATTAATGTTGATGTTTTCATCAGAACATCTATAGAACAGCCACTTACATCAGATGTGTGATAGTGAGTTCGCCCATGATTCCGTCTGAAAGCACTTTTGGAAATGAGGTGAAAGGTAGAATGTGATGAACGTGAGGATGGTCACATAGTTTAGTTAGTGTAGGTGGCAAATTCTATGATGCACTGTCGTCAACACACCTTACTTCCTGTTGCGTAATCTGTGCATGTCAAAACCCACACAGCCATCACACAGTTAAAAGAAGCTGGAACCTGAGATTTCATCAGAGTCGAGCTGTATGTTTTGTTATTACAGCAGCTCTTCATCTAAACAGTGTTTGGATCTGTAGAGCAATTAAAATTCAAAGAGGTCTAGTTAGAGAGAATTTAAAATAATAATAATAAAAAAGGTTTGCATTTAAAAATAAACAACAAAATAAAGTGCTTGATTTGAGAAAAAATAAATCAAAGTGTAGTTTTAGTTTCCAACTTTTTCTCAACTGCATTTTACATTTGAACAATCTTAACAAACATTAACAACTAAACAGCTTCAACACTCCTTTTCTCTTTGTTCAGTGAAAAGTAAACTCTTCCGTGTGCTGCCAGGATTTACTACCGTAAAGACTGCGCAGGTTCAAATGAGACTACCGTAAATGCAAGAAAGTTGCGCAGGTTCAAATAGAAATGTCACAATCTAATACCAGGCCTGGGTCCACACACACACACACACACACACACACACACACACACACACACACACACACACAAAGAAGAAGAAAAAAATTAATTTCTTCTAAAATGTTTTCTGTTCCTTGTTTCCACTGTGATGAAAACTTACCGAACCATGACCTCAAAACTGAGGCACGGACCGGACAGGGACTTCTGTGTTCCACTGCAGCCCTAAATCATAAAATGTATATATTGTAGTAATATACGCACCAAGTACTGTTAGAGACCTGGTTTTCATTTCGTTTATAATTAACCAATCATTAATCATCATATAGTAGAAATGGCGTCATTATGACAATCAATTTGAAATTAAATAATTATTAGAATATAAAGCAGTAACCATGCATCAACCCCTCAGATTCTTTCAATTTAAACTGAAATAACAGACTTGAATATGATCTTTTCTCCCACGTGACTCTTCAATCATTCGTCTTTCTTAAAAAAACGTACAGTTTACAATAATTGGTGGAATGTTTGCACAGTTTAATGCAATATTTTTTAGACGTGTTCAGTACAGCAGATGACAGATTCTCACTTCCATAATATTGGTCATTTCTACTGCTGGGTTGTCAAAATAAAACAGGATGTCAACCCTTAATTGACGAGTGTGTCAGTGTGTCTGGTAATCTAGGAAAGTTTTAGATCTGAGCTTTGAGGAACAATGCCATGGCCTCAACTTTCTGTATTGGTGGAGAATTCAGCACCTTGAAGGATGAGTCAGATGTCTTCTGTGTTTCAAAGTCCTGCCATAGTGAAGTGTGTGTCTGTGCGTGTAGGAGCCAGTATGATAAGAGTGTATCAGGATTAGGTCATTGTTGGGTCATATCTGATGAGAAACTATTTGTTGAGTATTTGTTTCTGTGCTGTTTTGTGCAAATTATTTTCTTTTCTTTTCTGACCCCACTTACACGTGTAAAGCCTCTTTGGGTCTCTTAAAGGCGCTATATAAATTCAAGTTATTATTAATTATTGCTTTGTATACAATATAATCAACCTTTTAAATGATATATTGATAGAAATTATAAACTATTTGACGGTTAAATATTTATTGCTCTCAAGTTCAACAAAATGTCACTGTAAAATGATGTGTGCCTAGTAATCCATCAATAATACATTGTATTAAATATTACACTATACTTTAGTACATCCTGCTTAGTTTTCTTAGAAGTACATGGTTGAAGGTAGGATTGATTTTATTGTAGTGGCATATGCATTGTGGTCCTGCTACTTTTAAGTTAAATATGAATAATATCCTCTACACCTGCTTTCTTCTATAAATACATTTTAGAATATCATGTCAGGAAATAGTAAAAATGCTCATAAAAACTTGTCGGACACCAGCTCAAATACCACAAGTAGACTGATTTAAATAGATCTAGAGTGCTAAATAAATCAAATACATTTTGATCGATCACCCTGAGAAGCTTTCTTTGCACTTTTACAGCAATACTTTCTGTAGTGCTGATGAAATCTTTATACACTGTTATTTATTTTGACCTGACAGGCAAGTAAACCACCATAATCCCAATAAAATGTCGGGTGGCAAAAAATGAAACATGTTTTACATCTACAATGAACAATTTTCAAGTCAGATTCCTAAATGTAGTACAAAATCCAGTGGGAAGTGAAGTTTTAACACTTGAGTGTACTCAAACTCTTCTCACAGATGTTGCCCTAATTATTAAACCAACATTCATTTTGCAAGGGTGGCCTGTTGTTACACAAGATCTGGGCAGGGATACTTGCTCTGTAGTGACCGCAAGTTACTTCTGCTCGTCAGTTTTGCGTTCACATAGTCATCTACAGAAAAATAGCAGAAGTGTACAAAGATGTCGAAATCTTGGTTCACTTCAAGACAGATCATCTTCTGGTCGGTTTACCGTAGCTCGAGCGGCGTGGCTTCCCGTTACACCCCATGGTCCGGATATCCGATGTTCCCTTTCACAGAGGGGGAAGTGTAATCAAACAAGCAAAATCACAATGTTACTTTTTCAACCTAGATTTGTTAATATTGGTTTCAATTGTAGCTTAAAAGTCCACACAGGTCGGCCTGTTTGCGATGTCAGATATTTGAGATGTCGAGGCCCAGACATCTTGACCATTTTTTGTCTTGACTAGAGAATCATAAGAGAGATGAGGACAATCAAAAATGTTTTCTTTAAATTTCAAAGCAAATATTTTTACAAAACTATTACTATCAGCAAGTTGATGTCTTCATTTGTGCTTATACGATCATTCCTTTCAGCTCTGGTTGTAAGTCAGGCTGTGGGTTACAATGAGCAAAATTCTGACCCGAATCAGATTTGAATCCTTTCTGATATCAGTTGCTAGACACATTTGAGAAACAGTAATTAGAGCGTCAGTGAGTTAACAACACCAGTTTTATCTGCAGCTAAGAGTGTGACTTCCTTTCAGTCAGCAAAACAATTCTAACTCAAAATATGCAAAAGGGATATATTAATAGAAAACAGAACAGGACCAGGACCCAGAATAGAGCTTTGAGGTACTCCACATCTTACATGTGGTGAATACGGTGTCATGAGACCACACATGGTGGTGTCTGTCAGTAATACATTATCAGATAAATTAGAGCTATGTTGATATTCTACATTTTACTCTCAGACTAAAAACAACAATGAAGTGATTCCACTACAAAGTATGTCTTTGTATATAATGGCTCCATTGTTTTTCAAAAACTATTCAAAACACACCTTCTTTCCAAACCGTTGCACAACAGGTTATTTTCACACGCACGCCCGCACACAGACAATATCTGATACTCACTAGAACATTAAATCTGTATCTGTGACTGAAAATAGTCCCCCTGCACATTTTAGTCCTGTTTGAGTGAAAAAACATGAAAGTATGTATTTGTGACCTCTTTTTAAAGATGTACATATTTGATAGGAACCAATGAGCTTCGGGTACACAGAGGCAGGGAAGTAGAAAATAACTAAAACACATCGATGGTTTTGGTCTTTTAATAGAAATTGTTGTCTGTAATAGAAATATTAAATGCAGTCTTATTTGATGGATTGATCAACTGTTAAAGGTTGTGGCTAAAAACTTCTTTTAAGTGCATTAAATAAAGATAATGTCTTTGTTACAGTTATAATGTGCTGTTTTCTGCTTTTCAAAAGAAGTTGTTCATCGTTAACTATTAAGATTTTATTTCATTAATGAATTCATCGTTTGACCAGGGCTAAATCTTCAAATGTCTTGTTTTGTTTGACCCACAGTCCTGAATTCAAACATATTCACTTTACTTTTTGGTGACAAACAAAAGCATCAGCAATATCACTGCAGGGATCATGGATACCCTGCACAATACCTTTAAAAATGTATATTTGAACATGCACAATGTGATTTTTTGACTTCTGACTTCACCTATCATATGACATCATATGATGGGGAATTATGTTTTGATGTATATGAGCTTTAGATTGTCTCAAGCACTGTCATGTATGGAGGTATCTAAGGAAATGTTCTTTTATTGACCTTTGACTAATCAGCTCCAAAACCTAATTATCTGCAGAGATACCCCCCCCCCCCAAGTAATATTCATACCAGGTTCGGTGAAAATCTTTCCATGCGTTATTTTTGTCTTCATTTTGCACAAACCATTCATGTTACTGAATTACAACCTAAATTACCTTTTGTGTAGAGATGCCACAAAAACCTCTCCGGTCCACGTTAAGTGTTGTAGGTTGTTGACGTAAAACAGCAGCAAATGTGTCGTGTCAGCTGTGACACTGCTGAACTCAACATGTCAGAGAAACTGTACCAACGTCAGATCAAATTATTAGGTGTTCAATAAAACTACGCTGCGGCTTCAGCATCCGACTTCATCAATTAATTTGGGAAACACAATCCACTACGAAGCATAATATAATGTATAAAAATAGAAAAAAACATTTTAACATGACTCGAGGGCAATACAAAAACTCTGCCATTGCACAACAGCTGGCAGTGGACATCAGCATGACAGGTGTGCTTGTGTGTGTGTGTGTGTGTGTGTGTGTGTGTGTGTGTGTGTGTATTGCTTTATCAGAGGAGTTTTTAGGAGGCCAGTTGGCCTCTGGAGGGGCTGTGATGCAATTAGGAGTTTACGGACAGACACTGCCCATTGACGGTAATATGTTGAAAAGGGGGCCGGGCTAAACGTTCAAGAAAAGAGGTCATCCTGTGTGGGAATTTCCCTGTGTCCTGTCAGCGTACGAGCCAGGAGCAGGAAAAGATTGCATGGGGCTCAAAACGGAAACGTGGGCTCATCGAAGAAAGAATGTGTAGAATGTTTGAATGGATGTGAGCCAACACGAGGGGCCACATGTGTTCTGAAACAGTCACAACAATGAAGCTATCAGAATCAGAATACCTTTATTGTCCCACAAACGGGGACATTTCTTGGATGTAAGAGTATTCACACACTGCTAAAAACATTATATATAAAAATTATATATTTTGGTTTTACTGTCCTGGCCTAAAACCAGACCACAGCTACTAAGAGCTAGTGTCATGTACATGGAGGATAACAATGTCTTATTCAGAAAAGGGTGTAACATTCTTCAAGTGGTGATGTGTTGGAAAAGGAGGATATTGCACAACAGAAAAAAACTAAACTGTTCATCACTGCGTGTGTTGAAATATCCAAATGTCATCTCTCACTGCACATCAAAACAACACCACGGTTTTTAATGCTTCTTTTAAAGAGTTGAACTTTTCGGTGCCAAATACAGTGTCGTCTCTGAACAGAACCAGCAGAGTGGGTTTTTCTCTTCTTCTCGGCTCTTTGAAGTGAGAGCTGGAAAACATCCCCCACCCTGAATCGTCATGGATCACCTACAAATCCTACTGTGCTCCTTTTCTATATCTCCTCTGTCTGGGGTTTGCTGGCTCGTGCCAGATAGGTTTCATATTGTGCACACGGTAAACATGCGGTGTCGAAAGCTCTGTCAATTCTACTGCAAACCAACTGTCAACTTATTCATTATGTCTGGTGCAACCTTCTGTGTCACTCCCATCTTTAACTTCTACAATTTCTGCTGAGTGTTTACTCTCTTGGGGGTAAAGGAGGTTTGCTCAGGATTATCTGTAGCCTGCACTGACTCGCAGCCGTACGGCTCTCGGCTGTTGAAGCGTGACCTGAAGTGGTGTGAGGAGGTTAGTTGCTGATTAATTTCCATGCAACCTTGAACCCATCACTGGGCCAGTGGACCCAGCAGACTATTGACAGAGCCATGTGCTAAAGATAAAACCAACATTTCTGTGCTGCGTGCAGGGTGACAGTGTTTTTTTCCTCTTTTGTTTGCTGCCCTCAGCAGTATCGTTTCAGCTTAAATTGGTTGAATGTATTTCAGGATCTGAGGACTTCAGTGTCCAACCATTAAGTGAACAGAGGAACCAAAATGGCGGTGGCAGAGTTATCCAGTAACAGTCTGGAGCGTCTTGAAACTGAGAAATCATCTTACATTTCAGTCGCACATAAACACAAAGGAAAAACGCCAATTCAGCCAAATATAAATCCTCAATCAGAATAAGTGAGGATGTCGCTGTCTAGATGTGCTGATAGAAGCCACTGCATTTTAAATGGGGATGCATGATTACAAATAATAATATTGGTGTATTCTCTGTATTCGGCCAACTGGTGGTGACTGGATCCATAAGATTCTCTCTTATGTCTAAATTCCGACAGTGTGACGGTTTAGCTTTCAAATTTGGTACATTCGGTCGCAAATGTGCCTCATTGCCATCTGCAATATGTTGGAATCGACATGCATGGTATAATACGCGGTCGTGTGAATAGTCAAGGCGAGCTTTACATCCATGTCTGTCTGAGTCTACACACCGACTTCAAAAAAGGACAGAAAGGAAGAAATTACAAGAGAAATTGTTAAGACAAAGTATAAATCTGTTTAATTCCATAAAATATCAAGTACAATTAAAGCATTTCACCTTTTAATATTAAATAATTAGACTTATTTCATTCATTGCCAATACTATTACAAAGAGTTGCATCATTTCACTGCAGCACAACTCTTCCCTTGACAACCACTGCTGTGAATACACAAAAAGTACCAATTCACTCGCATGTATGTAAAACCTGCACAGAAATACTGCATACACCGAAATAAAAACAACAACATGGGAGAATAAAGCTAAGGTGACATGTGAAGAATCGTGAATGATTGCGCAATCCATGCACCCACTTCCTCAGTCCCATTCAAAGAGTCTTTGTAAACTGGTCGGCCGCCGTCTTCACCCGCGCAGCGAACCGTCTTCAACACTCACTCAGCGGATCAGCTGCGGCTCTAAAGTCCATCAGTGATTAGACAAGAAGCCCGGGGCTCCGTGTGCAGTCTGCGGGGGGGAGGATTCTAACACTGTCCGGTGGCAGAGAGCAGGTTGCGCAGGGTGGCCAGCTCTCTGGACAGCTGCTCCACGCGCTTCTGTAAACGATCGTTCTCTGCGGTCAGTTCCAGGACTTTGTGCTGCGTCTCCAAGTTGCGCATTTTGGCTTTGTCCCTGCTCTTCCTCACGGCCAGGTTGTTCCTCTCCCTCCTCAGCCGGTACTCCTCACTGTCCTTGTCCAGGCGCTTCTTCGCTTTGCCGCTGGACATTTTGCCGCCGTGCGACGGGGACTTGCTCCTACCTGCCGGGGCAGGTGTGCCGGGCGGGCTGGAGCAAGTCGAGGACGCGGTGGAGATGTTCCCCAGACTCCCGCTGGTGGACTGGTAGTGAAGGTAGGACCTCATGTCAAAACCAGACGAGCCGTTCTCCATCTTCGCGTCTTCTTGAGCGTCGTCTCTCTCCGCAGCAGCAGCAGCAGCGGCGGCGGCGGCGGCTCTGTAGCGACCCAGCTCCGGGCTCAGCACGCTGTCCACACGGGTCTCCTGCAGCTCCGTGTACCCCAGCGAGTAGGGCTCCCTGGGGTCCCGCAGGCTGTCGCACTGACTCGCCTCCAGGTCGCTGAGCAGCGAGTAGCTCTTGTAGTTCTGCGCTGCAACTCTCTTGATCTTGTTCTCCGCTAGGAAATCTGAGAAAACGTCCCCCTGCTGCTGCTGCGTGTGCGTCTGCGTGTGCGCCACCAGCTGCGGGCAGTGCAAAGCTGAGTCCAGGTAGGCGCTGAAGTCTATCGCTCTCTCCCGCTCCTCGATGCCCAGCTCCGACATGGAGTCGCCGAGCCTCCAGTACGAGCCGCCGCTCACGGGTCCGATAGCTCCGTCTCTACTGTGGATAGCAAAGCCGCCCGCCTCGTAGAAGCCGGCCACTTCCATGGATCTTAACACCCGCCGGATTGCAGGAGCATGGAGGGCTGAGGTGAGGTCAGCTCCAGATGTGCGACAGCGGTGAAGTGGTTCAGGTGTCGGGCCGTGGCGGGTTTAAATCCCCCCCTGGAATGACAACACTCGGTGGGGCAGATGTGAAGGGCTCGTGCTCGTGGGTCTGGAGGAATTGACAGGTCTCCGAGTCTCGTGGGGTTTTATTACGAGCGAGGGGCGGGGCTTAGCTGGGCAGGTGTGTGACGCGCAGCGAAGAGAGCCAACCGAGCACTTCCTACATCCAAGTATTTACATGTCCACATCCGAACTGTTCAGACCAACTAACTCCAACTTCTGGTTTGTCTTACAGGTGGTCGTGGGTCTCAGCAGCTGGATGTGGGACATGCCCACCCGAGGTAAAACTATTAAAAACCGAGCCAGAAGAAATTCTGAGTTGCTTATAAAGATGAAATGAGAATTACTAGACGGTGCAGTGCATCTGTCCAAAGAGATCTCATGTATAAATACAAAGAGATCTCATGTATAAATACAATTTCGTGTGTATGTTGCCAATGCAGATAAGAGAAGTTAATACTTATCGTAACGGCTTCTTGAAAATCAAATGTGTTCACATTACACTACTGACCTGGTATTTTTTAACTTGCTGTGCTTTGTCTCATATGTTGTGTTGTTACTTATTGTTATCTGTAAATATTAGTGTAGTTCTAGTGTGATTTTATTTGAATGTTTATCAATTAACACATAAATTAAATAAAATGAATGTATTTTGATCTAAGCTGTGTTGTCTGAGTCTGAATATTAAAGGTTATCATCGACATCTTTGCAAGGATGCTGGGGGGGTGGGGGGTTGTTGCAGCACCTCTCAAAGAAACCAAACAAATCAATAAAAAGAGCTTTTATTTATTTTATTCTTTATAAAATTTGATTTAATTTCCGAACATTCAGTGTATCTGTGTAGATAATGTTAAGGATGGACTGAAAGGATTGTGGTTCTGTGGTCTGTTGTGATATAAACTGTTATAAAATGTTTTTGGCCAATCGAATTAATACATAAATCACAAGGTTGCTGCAGTGTCTTTTTTTTAAAAATTTGATGTCGTTTTACAAACTTTCTTTCAGTACCCCCAAATCACACTGCACGACTTCCAGCCTCTTCCAGAGTCTTAGTGTCTTTCACCACTATATCATGAAGGAAACTTGCACGACTCAAATGAAAACTAAAATTGAAAACACAAACCAACAACAGCCACTTCACCCAGACAACGTATGACAATTTTAACCACCACTACTTGACAACGCATCCAGTCACGCCCCCTGCAGTCCAAACTTATCAACAAATGACAATAATGGAAAAATACAACTCAGTCAGAGTCAACCTGTTTACCATGTTCTGAGTTCATGCGTAATAACCCTCACAACAGAGATGCTCATGGAAGTACCCCTGGACATATCTCCACACAGCTGTTTCCCCACAACATTCACTGACTAGTTTCAACCAGTCTCTCTGTGGAGTGTTGTGTTTTGTTGTGGTTGAGGTTGTATAAGATGATGCATTCACTCCAAAACTGCACAAGGGGTCGGGGTGGGTGTTTAGTCAACCAATGTAGCCTGGATTACGTCTCAAGTGATTCAGTGTTTTCAAAAACACATTTTCAATACGTATAATGATGAACTTTGCTCTTAGAACAATAGAATAAAAAAATCAGAACAGACCCAGTGAATCATCTCAGATGTAAAAAACTGGTCTTGGTGTCATATAAAGATGTTCAGGGCGTCTAATGAGAATTCGTAGGGGTTGTGATTGATCATTAAATAACATATATAGGTATTCAATATTAATATATAATTATAACGATAAATGTGAAATTAGTTTGTTTAAAGACTGATTATTGCTCCTGAGTAAAGGTTCTGGTTTTAAACTTATATCGACATATGTTGGACTTTTGTTATATTGCTATTGATGGCTACTATGATCACACAAACTCTAAATTCCATTGCTCTACAATGTAATGATTTAGTTTATAATCAAATTCTGCAAATAATGCATAACTAAACACATTTTCTGCACAAGAGGGTAAACCTGATTTAATTCATTTATAAATTCATTAAAATCAAAACAGGGATTAAAAGGAAGAATGCAGATGTAATTCCTAAGAGTATAAGCTTGCATGTATATTATTTTGTTTTTGCTTGAGCCTGTTCAGTCACAGCTTAATACAAAGACTGTTTGGACTTTGTTGACACAGTTTGTGTTGTTATATTTTACTGTGTTTGATGATGAGTGAATAAATCAGAAGTCAAGTCGGTTCTGGTCATTTACAGCTTCGTACACTTTGTGATCAGAGCTGAGTGATCTGGATTTTATGTAAGGTCTGAACTCCAAGTATCTACCTCAGCAACATTACAACAACAGTGTCAATGTAAATGTTTAGGACGTGTGTAACTCTGCATAAACTGTTTCACTGGTACATAGCCAAAGCCACTTTTCTGTTCCGCTACATCTGCAAAACATCTGTTGCCATTCCTGGAAACATTCAGTGTATTCCACTTTATTTTGTGACGTTTGGGGCTTTACTGGTAATTTTAGCTGTTGTTTTTTTTCCATTTTTGGTTTGGATTAATTGCTAACTGCTGTTGACATATTAGGTTCACTCCATAGACAGGATGCACACAAGGCTGGGTTCATATCATATACAAGGCAAAAACTAAAAAAATATTTAATGATATCTTATATTATCTAAATAATAAAGGTCTCAAATGGGAGTAGATTCTCACAATAAGTCCTTAATCAAAACCAGGTCACAAGAAAATGAATAAGCACATTTAAGCCTGGGACTTTTGAGCCCCCTGGAGGTCAGTTGCCTGGTTGGTAATCGAGCCTTAGGCACATCTCCTGTGCTTTGGAAATAATATTACATTGTAAAATCCACTCCTTAAGTAAATTTACTTATAAGCTTTGCTCAAAATGTTGCTGATAATATTTGTACACTTGAACAGAGGCAATTATGAGTAAAAGGTGAATGTTCAAACGTAGAGTGACAATAACAGAGGGAGAGGACAGTCATAAAGTCAACATTGACTCAGTGACATTGTAAGTTGCTTTGGATAAAATCCTCAGATAAATGATATGTAATGTAATGTTATCGATTACAGGAGCAATGTTAAAAGTTATCCAACAACTATAACCAGACCCGGTGAGGCTGCAGGAGCAAAACCACTGAACATAGTGCATTAAACAACAGAGTAGATGGAGTAATAAATGAGCCAATACTGGGCACAGACCCAGAGGCTTGCGGTCAGGCCTGTACCAAGAGTCACTTTATGAAATGACCTGTTTAGTTCTCGTCTGAAATTCACGGAGTTCAGTTAAAAAAACAAAAAGAAAACAAAGAAAGTCTTTCTTAATATAAACCCCAGAACAATCAAACAAAGATACACTCAGAGTTACAACATGTCCGCACAGATACACAAGATGAACACAGAGACACAAAATAGCAAATAAAGATACAAAGAGGTACAACATGACCACAAAGAGAAACAAAATGGCTATAATAAGAGGTACAATAACCATAAAGACACAAAGGGTCAAAATACAACTACAAAAACAGATGAGGGGCTACAGCATGGCTACAAAGAGACACAAAAATAACCACAAAGAGACGCAAAATGGCTACAAACATACAAGAAATATATATATACTGTAAAGACTCCGAATAGCCACAAACCAAACACAACCTCGTGGTTTTAAATGTGTTACATGAATAAAGTTTACAATGACCAAGAAACTCACAATGGCTACGGATAAATACCAAAACTACCACGAGGCAGAAACAACTCTGCCCTGTGTCTCTTTCAGTCTCAGCTCATGTGTAGGACGAAGGTGTTTTGCTGTTCGATGACTTAAAAAAGAAAAAGAAAGTATAACCCATCTATTAGCAAAGTGATGTTTTGCTTATGAACTGAGGTTTGTAACTTTAAATGTTACACACTGTGATTGGGCCACTTAACTCTTCATTTGCTTTCTTACACCAGAATCGTGATTTATAGCCAGGCAGGTCAACGCATGAAGTTGCTGTGTGGCGTATTTGAGCGAGTATAAATTAGATTAGAAAACAAAAACGAAATATGAAAGACATTAGAAGCTCTGGGCAGCTCACCTGTTTCTGTGTTGACGTGTTGTGTTGACATGTTGTGTTGACATGTTTTGGGGCCTGTTGCACAATCACGCAGGAAACAGAAGCCGCTCAAACACCTGCTCAGGTGGTTTTGATTGTAGTTTCAAGCCACGTGCTCGGCGACAGCTCCATCTAGCGGCAGAGAGCAGAGCTCACAGGGGCCGGGTGGGGCCCGGGAAATGCGCTTTTCACTCTCCCTTCGCTCCTATTGGCCACTCGGCTGCGTATGTAACATCGTTCCGTGCGGTGATTGGCTGCGGTGCTCACCGGCTTGCTCCCGATTTGCCGAAACCCCAGCGGTGACCGTGGGCTGAGAAAGTCGATGCTTCCGTTGGTTCCTGGCTGCGAGTGGAGACACTGAAGGGGCTGGACCCGCCGGGGAAGAAATGGCGAGGACGGTGAACGAGAACGGGTGTGGAGGGGAAACACAGAGCCCGGAGCCGCAGGGACCGGGCCGAGGAGCGGCCAGATGGGGCCCGCAGCACGCCGGGGCCCGGGAACTGGCCACCCTGTACTCGCCAGGTGAGTGGATCCGCTCACGGACACGCTCCCCCGGTTCAAGTGTCTGAGAGTGGCGTGATGTAACGACTGGCTGTGTGTAGAGTTACCAAGTCGGACTGACACTAACCCACCGGACCAACACTCACTGACACACCGGGTGATCGTTCACCGCTTCGACCTGACGACACCAAGCCACCGGAGACAGTTGTGGGTTAGTTCCAGTCACTGTCTTCTTGTTGTTTCTTACACAAGAGGAATCGCGTTGAATTGGTCGAATCAGTGTCGGAGTGTCGTTGTATCTTTGACATCTGGAGCTCGGAGCAGATTCTCCGGAGGATCCACCGATCAGCTCCGGGCTCAGCAGCCGCCTTGAGCTTTCGTAACAGCGGCGTTACTGAGTGTCAGCCCGCAGACTGGAAGTCACTGAGCAGCCATCACAACCGACTGAGTAACTAACAAACTACTGAGTAACTAACAAACTACTGAGTAACTAACAAACTAACTGAGTAACTAACAAACTACTGAGTAACTAACAAACTACTGAGTAACTTACAAACTACTGAGTAACTAACAAACTAACTGAGTAACTAACAAACTANACTGAGTAACTAACAAACTACTGAGTAACTTACAAACTACTGAGTAACTAACAAACTAACTGAGTAACTAACAAACTAACTGAGTAGCTAACAAACTAACTGAGTAGCTAACTGAGTAACTAACAAACTAACTGAGTAACTAACAAACTAACTGAGTAGCTAACAAAGTAACTAACAAAGTAACTAACAGAGTAGCTAGCAAACAACCTGCCTGCTAACTACTAATTGAGTATCAGCCTGCAGACTGAAACTCCCTGAGCAGCCATCACAACTAGCAAATCATTTAGTAACTAGTTAACTAGCAAACTGAGGAACCAACAAACTAACAGAGTAGCTAACAAACTAACTGCGTACCCGACCTACCTGCTAACTAACTACCTGAGTAACCAACAAACAAACTATATTTAATATAAAGAATATTCTAAGCCCTGACTAGCTCACCTGTTTCTGTGTTGACATGCTTAGCCAGCTGAGCGAGTCCTCTCACCATTGAACTTGATAACACTAAAGTGAGTGGCCTTCCCGCCCGTTGTTCAAACACCGGACACCTTGTGAGCAGCTGAGGTCCTTACTAGCATGGGCGTATTTTAAGAAAGCGGGGTCCTGGGCTAAGACACGTGTCTCTCTGTGGTCACTTTGTGTCTTTTAATTGAGTTCTATGACTTGAAGACAAGAAGTATAATTGCACACAGAGGCCCGGGCAGGAATCTGTCTATGCTCAGGATCAGAATCTGAATCTGAGCGCTCTAACTGTGGAGAATTAAATGTGAATGGGGGGGGGTTGTGGGGCCTTTCTGTGAGGGGTGTACATTTCCCAGCTGCTCAACAGCGTCACGTCACAACCTTAGTGCAGAAGAATGTCTCCTGACCTCTTTATATACAGTCTATGCTCCTGACTGAGTGTCACTGTTGTAAAGAAGTATCTGATAAATAATCCTGCTGACTGGATCACTAACCTTTGGACATATTAGTGTCATTGATATGATGTCACATCAAGTTCAGTGGCTGTGACCTGGAGAAATCACATAACTGATAATCTTATCAGGAAACTGAGTGTTAAGAACGAGCAGCAGGTTGTAAAGTTGTACTAATATGTTTGCTCTCGTTTTTCTTTAAGGCAAAAGATGTCAAGAGTTGATCAGTGTCGTCCTCTGCTTCTCTCTCATGGCCTTCAATTTCTTTCACCTCCTTGCCAATTTCCATCTGGGGCATTTGTGGTACATTGTGTTGGGCATTGGTAAGTGCTGACTGAAGAATTATGTAATATCCTGTTGTTGTATTGTCAGTGCTTCATTAGTTCTTTTGTTTTTTCCAGATTTGCATCAAAACAATTGTTGTTTGTTCTCCTTTTATTTACGAGGCTTTCTTTTATACTCTCGTCCTCAAACAAATTTTTAGTGGCAGGAATACTCACCGCAGACTTTGCATCAGGACTTGTTCACTGGGGGGCCGACACATGGGGATCGGTAGATCTACCCATCTTTGGAAAGGTATTCAATCATTTTTCAAATCAAGAATCAGTTGTTTATACTTTAAAGAATCTGTATTTGAACAGAAAATTCATTTTTCCTGCATTTACAAAGTGTATTTCTGTGTCTGATCTGACCTGCAGGCCTTCATACGACCATTTAGAGAGCACCACATTGACCCCACAGCCATCACCCGTCACGACTTCATTGAGACCAATGGTGACAACTGCATGCTGACAATTGTCCCTCTTGCTCACATGGCCTTCAACTTCCTCACCTTCTCCCCTGGTGTGTTTTTTATCAACAAACCCAGTCTGACATCTTCTACCTCTTAAAAAATGCTGTAATCTGATCTCAACTGCTTTTTCAATGAAGCTGGAAGAAGGCAAACAAGTTTCTCTCTCAACTTATTTCCGTCTTCTTTCAATTGCAGCGGACATTTACCATTCCTACCCCTGGTATTGCTACTTATTTGCACTAGCCATCTTTGTGACCCTCACCAACCAGATCCACAAGTGGTCGCACACGTACTTCGGCCTTCCTCGTTGGGTCGTGTTGCTACAGGACTGCCACATCATCCTCCCCCGCAAGCACCACCGCATCCATCACGTCTCTCCTCATGAGACGTACTTCTGCATCACCACAGGTCCGTCTTTTTACCTCCTGATGGGGTGGGGTGTGGGGGGGGACAGAAATAGCCTTGATGTTTTGAGGTAATTGGTCAGATTTGTCACTGAGGTTTGTCTCTGCAGGTTGGCTGAACTACCCACTGGAGAAGGTTGGTTTCTGGAGGAACCTGGAGGATCTCATCCAGGGTGTGACTGGCGAGAAGCCCAGGTCTGACGACCTGAAATGGGCTCAAAAAGTCAAGTAACGCTGCAGGCTTACTGCACCCTACCTCAGAAGATGCTGGCTCCGTCCAGGCTTCTCATCCCCTTTTTTGCCTCACTTAAACTGTAATTCATAGGAAGGAAAACTAACAAACAGTTTCTGATGCCATAGCTTTAAGTCTTGCACATTTTGTCTGTTTTTCAAGAGGAGGGCTTTGTCGATTGAATCTTTCATTACTTACTCATGGAGATCATTGTTTAAAATTGCAATATATCTTTAACTTACTGTATGTTTAACACCACTCATCACTTTTTTGCAGAGACTTACACAGGTTTTTGCTAAGAGGGGTTGGTTAGACGTATAATTTAAAATCTCTGTCCAAGGAGATTAAAGCATTTTCCTCAAGTCAGAAGATTCAAATGATCCCATGAAAGAATACTTGAACGCTTGAACACTTGCCTTTTTCTCCTCTTTCTCCTCCAGAGCCACAACTGTTCATTTAGAGAGTTGATGAATCTTTTATTTAGCACTTCTTTATTTTCTCTGGATCAGTCATTTTCCTCTCCACCTTATTAAGGGTCTATTTGATTTGAAGTATTAAAAACGGATTTAGGCCATAGTAAGCAGTAGGGCTGGGTGTTACAGGATGCTTTACCAATGTTGATAGCTAAAGAACAAATCAGTTGATTACTGTTACATTTCTTGACTGTTTTAAAAAGTGAGGTGATGACAAGATTAGTGTTTTCTTCAGTATTAACAGTTCCCTTTGTTGATTCTAGTGACTCACTAAAAGTCACAATGCAGCCAGTTCAATAGTTAAGTAGACCTGAGACAATGACTACAGTTACCGTGTCAGTGCCACTTAACAGCCAAACTAGACACCAGCATGATAGACGACACGACTGAGAAGACACATTTTACAAAATAAATAAATTGCTCATATTGCTGTCAGATACTAAACAGACATTTTCCCTTTGAATCTGTTGTTTTTTTTAGATATCATTGGTCACAAACACAGAAGATGAGATATTTTTAGGCTTCGTGGGGACGTACAGTAGTTTATTGTGAGCAAGTCTTATGGAAATCACGTAACTGTAGTCAATGTGGCTGCTAGACAATTAGAAAATATACATATATATATATATATATATTTAATGCTGTTGATGTGCTGAGTCATTCTGTCCCTATACTAAATAGTCTTTCCAGATGATCACTATGTCCAGGAGAAAAGCATTGTTTGGTAAAGAGATAGTTCTATGGGAAAGAGGCATGTGCAGTCTTGTCTAGTTGCCTTATCGCTCTGTAAATGCAGCTCTTGTGTCTTTCCTTGTTGCTCTGTTTCTGTTTTAATAGCAGAACTTCTTCTGCATCTGTCTGGGGTTTGTGTCTCAGTCGGACACAGATCCTGCAAACTCTTGTGCAAACTGCATGTGACATTTACTCCATTTACACGTGGCATTAGAACACGTTTTGCTTGATCGGGTGGTGCTTCACCACTTTAAAAATACAGACACCCAAGAAGCATTGAGGACGGATTGTGATCTGATTCCCTGAACCCTCTCTGGAGGTTGCCAAGGACACATTGTGACCATATTGAACACAAGTCTTCATGTCATTGTGTTGTTAGTCCACATTCAATGACTTCAGGGGTGGAAATAATAATCTCACATGACTGTTCTGAACCAGCAAGGTAGCAGCAGCTCAGCAGTTAGCAGCAATGAGCCAGTAAACACAACCCAGAGCAGACCTCTCCACCTTATTATTCACGACACCTGTGGATTGAGTGAAGACGGGACTTATTGAAAAGCAAGCTTTTTGTGCTGTTTGTTGATTTCGTGGAACTTTGCAAACGAGAGGAAGATGTGACGTGAGCTGGACACAGCGATCACATCTCAAGGTTAATGCCTGGTGTAAACGGAGTAACTGTTTCTGTTCCTCACAAGTGAGAAGTAACTGTCCGTTTCAGAGCGAAACATTCCCAGTGAGTGATGTCGCTACAGCGACTAACGTTGCCATCTTGGTAACTGTGGCGAGTGGTGGTGGTGATGTTACAAGGGCTTCAGTGCAGGTTGACGGGGCAGGACTTTCTTCACTCCTACAGATGAGATTATGTAATTAAATTAATTGGTTGAAAGTTTTTTTTTAGATGCTTTAGTTACTAATCTGTAAATGTATTGTACAGCAAATAACTATGCAGTGTAATAAGAGGCCCTTAACTATACGTCTTAACTCATATGATTAGATTCAAATGCCTTTCTATTTTTAATAGTTTACACATATTTACTTAGTTGGAGAACTGGAGTTCTAAAATGTATCTACTTAAGGAACTGCATGACAAAATTAGTTTGACTAATAAAGATGTCACTTACACACGTAAGAATGCATGTGTAGAGCATGTCGGCTTGTGCAAGCAATACACTGCGTCACCAGCTTTCCTTTTGAGTTTGTTTAAAACTGACCAAGAAGGATCATGCTCACTCCAAATGAAATTAATTTTTAACTCAAAACATGACCCCAAACTTTGACCAAATTGTCCTGAGTTTGAAGAACCAAAATTTTACCTTCATTCCAGGGAAAGCATTATTAAGCTTCTGGTGTTAAACTTTAAATAGGTAATTCAATTATAGTTACTTAACTTTGAAACCAAAATTCTGTTTTGTATCATGTGATATTCCAGTTTTTGAATCCTTTATACTTGATTAGATAAAATTATTCAGCATAAATCAGCAGCAGGAGTACATGACAGATTGCATTGTACTTGTAGAGTATTGTGAGAAGCAGTTCTGTGTGCGCAAGTAGAATATTTGCTGGTAAATGAATGGCGTTATGTGTTTCTGCATCATAGTTTAAGGCCTACGTACAAAATCTAGACCTGCTTATTCTTTTTTGTTAGAGAATATCATTAAGGGCAGCGGTTACTGCTGTCAGACACTTTGCAAATTCATTTTCTAAAGAGCAAGGTTCAGTTAATTGCCTTTTTATGGTGATATATAAAAGTAATGATAAGTTTTTGTGATACTGCAAAATAAGACAGCTAAGATTTTAGACCTGAATGACCATGATTCGTTTGGACATGGACAAAATAGACTTTAAAAAACACGTTGATACTAGAATAATCTTTGCTTGGACACAGACTTATTGCTATTTAAGGCTGTAACATGTATTGACTTATTCTTCATTCTTACTCTCCAGATGATCTCAGGATTGTGGTTAAGATGATTAAAGTAGTTTAATATGAATTTGTAAAAAAACAAGACAAAACACCCCAATGAGTCAAAGTTAAGGCTGTTATTTATTAGATAAAAGTTGTTTCAATCACTTATTTCTTTCAGATTCTTATGGCAATATAGCCAAACGATTTTAAATACAGAATAGGTTCTGTTGTAGCCATCTATCAGTGCAGTTAACTTGGCCTCTTGTTATTGAGGTAGAGCTCATGATTCAACTGTGTGTGGTTTTTCTGCTTAGAGACAATGGGCTTTCATTAGTGGACTTGAAGGATATTTTGTGACAATGTGTGGTTAATTTAATGTTGTTCCCACTCGAAACTACTTTGTGGAAACAAAAGAAGTTGTCAGTAAGTGGGGTGGGCAGTTATTGTTGGTATGTTTGACATGCTGTGTTTGGTTTTGTAATGATCCTTGGACTTTTTATTGAATGGCCTTATTCTCTCCCTGATTAAATTAATGTAAATCTTGCTGACGACGTGGGAAAAACAATTCACTGGCTGACTTTAAATTGCCCTTCTTTTGCCTCTCAATTCTTCTGAGGCAAGACCCTTATGGATGTTGTAGTTGGTTATATTTGCTGGTGGTGATGGAGTTTTAGATATCAGAATAATGCCTCGATGCCTTTTTGTTCTCTTCCATGTGGGAGACTTACAATGTATATATTAAACTGTATTTATAAATAAACTAAAATAAACAGTTGATTATTGCTGCTTCTCGTTTTGTCTCATGCCGTTCTTTCTGTACTTGTTTTAGTTTAAAGATTCTTTACATCATTTCCCTCTTTTTTGCCTCCATAAACTAATGCATGATATAGGTGTTTTACAAGATGATATTTTGACAAGTCACAGTAACAAAAACAAAGTGCTAAAATACATTCACAGATTTCTTTTTATTTTTTAGAAATATATAATAATACAGTCTTAAAAAGGCCTATAGATGTAGTAGAACCTGTTGGGAAGTGAACCTCTGTCGAGCCTATTTAAAGGATAATACACAAGGTAATTTCTTATTTTAATTTGTGTGCCTAGTTAATGACCTTCTGACAGCTTTACACGTAGTAAATATTAAAACAAAAGTAAACAGTGTTCACGAGTAGAGTCGTTTACATTTGTCCTAGAGCGTGTTTCCAGCAGCAGGGTGCTGTAGGTGGTAATAAGGTGATCAAATAAACCAGTAATAGAGTAATAAAAACTACACTGATTGTTAAAGTACTGACGGCACATTTCACATGAGGCCTAATAAACCAAAATAAGCAAAATGCAAAAGGACAAATTTAAGCATCGTCGTTAAAAAACCAATGAATTAAAACCATTAAACGAGTTCTTCTCACTGTTTAGTTCTAATGGTGAACAACAATAAAACGTGACGTCAGCACAGCGACAGAGGAACGCGTGCTTTGCGTTTCTTCCACGCGCACGCCCCGTGTGCCCACAATGGTAAAAACAACGTGCGCGCTCCCGCTGAGCAGCGACAAGATGGCGGTCGCCGCCGGATCAGGTAAATCATCCCGAGAAAACAAATCACAATGAGACGGTGTCGTCGATGAACCAGGCGGCGTGAGTTTTCACACGCGAGGCGACAGAGCTTCGTGACCGGGCTCCACTGCGCACCGACGCACCGGCTCCGTGCTAAGCTACATGCTAGCGCGGAGCCGCCTGAGAGAATGAATAGGAAGCGCCGCGGTAGCTAAGCTAACGTGAGTGGAGTCGGATGCGAGGATGTGACAGAACGACCGTCGAGAAATTGGATTTCAGGTGGTTTCAAGCGACGTGGGCATCAAACAGCAGTTACGCACACGCGTGTGACAGCGTTGCCGGCCGGCTTTTCATCTATTGACGTGTAACGGTGGAGACGGAGCCACAGCTTCTCTAACGGCCGGGTGATGTTAGCTTATTTGCGGTATCGAGCAGGAAACCGATGGCGGATGTGTGTGTGTGTGTGTGTGTGTTAAAAACCGAATAACAAACCGTGGAGCCTGCGAGTGCTTAATGCGGGGAACGCAGACTCACTGGCCCGGCTCGGCTCGTGGAGACACTGAGTTTCAGTGGAGCTCCGGAGCCTGATGGCTGCACACCAGCTGACGGTGCCACTGTTTTTGCATGACGGCCCGGTGCAGCTGCACCATCACACCTCACTGCAGAGGCCAGTGATGCAGCACCGTCACTGCCAGATGTTTCACCCGGAGCAAATAAATCATTGCTCCCTCTGAGGGCTGATGAAAGGTGGTCAAATCAAGATGTCTGTGATTCACTGTGTCTGTGGCAGGACGAAGGGGAGCTGACTCCACCTGTCGTGGAGGGGAAGGTGCAGCCGCGTTTGGGTGTAACAGCTGTGTGTTGGTGTGTTTGTCCTCACGCAGGCGTTCAAGTTCCTCGCAATTTCCGGCTCTTGGAAGAGCTGGAGGAAGGTCAGAAAGGTGTGGGAGACGGGACGGTGAGCTGGGGTCTGGAGGATGACGAGGACATGACCTTAACACGGTGGAGAGGAGTGATCCTCGGCCCTCCGAGGGTGAGTGGTGCAGCTGTTTTAAAAAAAATAAAAGCTCCCTGCACAGTCCTCGTTCCAGCAGGAGACAAACTGTCATGTAGGCAGAAGGTCTCAGTGTCGGCTGTGCACTGCTGTGAGTGAATATCTCTGCTTGGATTTTAAACTGGTGCAAAGGGACAGAGTGTGATGAATGATGCTGCATTAATTAGCAAAGTGAATTTGATTTGAGGCGATGGAGCAATAAAATAATTAAGTGAAGAGGAAATATCACCACACATTATCACAAAATGACTGGAAGCAACAGGTTTCTGTCATTATTATAAATTCCATTTTGCAATCAACATTTAATTGTTGATTATTTTGAATGCTGCAGCTTAATATGCATCTGTAATGAATATTAACAGACCTCAGCAGATTAGGACATTTTTTTAAGAGGATGGTGGATATTAACTTATGACAGACTAGAGTTTACAAGTCTGAAAATGACTCTGATGTGTACTGTGCTGTCCTCTCCCCTCTCCCCTCTTGTTTCTGTCCACAGACAAGCTATGAAAACAGGATGTACAATCTGAAGGTTGAATGTGGGCCAGGATACCCAGAGTCCCCACCGTTTGTCAAATTCGTGACAAAGATAAACTTGAATGGCGTGCACACCTCCAGCGGGGTGGTATGTAAATCTTCTGAAGCGTGTGTTATGAAGTCCGTAGGCTTGTCAGTTGTTCAATTGCAGAAACACAACATCCACCAATTTATATCGTAGTGAATATTTTTTTAAGAATGTATTTATCTTGTGGGGAGAAATGATTGGAACATGAAGGAAGTCATGAGACTTAAATTTTAAAGTCTCACAATGTTTCCTGACTGTGAACTGCATCGCAAAAATGCTAAACATCATGGGAGAGCTAAAGGCGTGGTGTCACATTAATCCTCCCTCGTCTGTCCTCCAGGTTGACATGCATGCGGTGACTGCACTGGCCAAGTGGCAGAACTCCTACAGCATCCGGATGGTGCTGCTGGAGCTGCGACGGCTCATGACGTGCAAGGAGAACATGAAGCTTCCTCAGCCACCTGAGGGCCAGATCTACACCAACTGAGCCCCTTCGACGTTTGGCTCCACCTTTTTCTCCTCTTCTTCTCCTCCCCGCTCCCTTCCAACTCTTATAATTTGCTTTCATCCCTTTACCCCCCCCCCCCATCATCCGCCATGTGGCATTCCACCTCCTGCCCATACTTAGGCTGAGCATGTACACACACACGCACACACACACACACACACACACATGCATATATATAAAACACACACACATATAATAGAGCATTCATGAAAAATTCATTCCAGGCCCCGACCCCCTCCCTCTCCCATCACTGGAGTGCTGGGCGGACTTGATGTGACGAGGCAGGCGGAGTCCTCAGTCCACACCAGATGTGATCATTCGAATACTGTACATCTTACTAATCTTCTTTTTATTATTATTTGTTAAAAATAATGCAGATTGTACAATAACATAAATAATCTTATTGAGTGTACCTCTTTGTCTGTTGCCTTTTTGTAACATTAAAATCAGCCACTTAACACAGTTGCACATGGTTCACTAGACGGTGTGTTGCTGTTCATCATGAGATAATCTTCTTCACATACAAACCCCAATATGCAAAACCAAGTTTAACCTGGTGATGTTAAGAATGTCTTGTCATGTGGTCAGATGTCTGATGAAATATTTACTTCACTGTGTGTTGACATGGGCTTGCACACTTTGTTTTCAAGTAAATGCACGACTGCAGCTCAGCAAGGTGCCAAGAAGTGGTCACCTGGATCTCACGTTTTCTTTTCTTCTATGTAAGAACTGTCCAAAGTAAACATTTTTATCCACACCACTATATCTGATCTTAATATCTATATGGGCATAGTCTGCATATCTGCTGTAGCTCTGCATAAGTCCCAATGAAACCATGCTTGAAAGTAGAAGTGAAATCAGCTACCTCTTTTGGTCCTGTGTAACGTCAGATGAGTTATCCGACCTGTGAAACTGTCTTTTGCTTCTTCATGTGACAATTTGTTTTTCTTTCTCCACATCATTCATAAATCTTACTTTATGCTGTTCATGCATTTGTGTCTTTGTAGATCACTATGAGTTCGGTGGCGTGACAGTTTAAATGCAGAACGGCAGAACGACTGTTTATGTAACGTATGTGCTTGAATGACCCAAGCGGAATCTTTGGAAATGTGATGCAAGACCACTTAAAGTCACAAAGAGTTTCACTTGTGGTTTTGAGTGTAATACTTGATACTGATTTGACTTTGAAGTATTGGGTGGATTGTCATGAAATTAAGACACGTTGCTTCCTTCAAGATAAACTTGAAGACCTTGGATGAGCCCTTAATCTTCTTTTTTTAAATGTAAAATCAGGTCCAAATGTTAATTTGTCCAGCACTTCAACCTCAGATTTACTACACTGCTTAGTGAAGATGATTAAATGATAACATACTCAGGAGCTATACTATTGTGGTGAACAGACTCTACCAGCAAAACATAGTGTTAGTATTGTTATTGTGAGTTTGCTTTTAGTTTCACAACCTCTGAGTAGAGAGCCATAGAGCTGATAGTAGGACTGTGAGTGCCTATGCTGAGTACTTTGTCACTTTTCTATTGTGAACACAAACTCAAAGCCTACTTCTCATAATTTAGAAGTGAGATCTAAACCTTGAACTTTTCCTAAACTTGAGTAGTTCTGTTGCTTTAACTTCAACAAACATTCTGACAAACAGTTGACTGGAAACTGAAGAAAGCCCTGAAGGCAGTTTTTTCTCCCAACAACACCCACGAGCTGCAGAGCTGCCAGCACTGGACAAAGTACAATTGTTCAGCTATTTGTCCCAACGCACTCTGAAACATCAGAGTTATTTCTGCCTAGCTAGCCGTGTCTCAGCATGTTGTTGCTGTCTTTACAAGCTGGATGGGAGAAATTGTATTTACCTTTTCTGTAACTAGAAAATCCTGCTGTGAGATCTGAATATGCTGCTGAGTTTTTAAAACCCTCTCCAGGAAGATTATTGAGGTTATCAAGTTATAAAAAGAAAACAAAAGCATTTTCCTAAACTGAGGAGACGTGGAGAGATGTTTGCATCTGCATCCTACTGCTGTGTTCAAAATGGACTCCTGTGAAAACTTTATTCCACTCAAGACAGACCAGTTAAAATCTGGACTATGATGATATGGTGGACATCATCATCATCATCATTACCATCTGACTTCAGACGCACCACCGAAGAGAAGTAGATCCAGCCATCGATTTTACTAAGTACTTTACAAATGAAGTTATATTATTATTTTATTGGAAAAAAGGAAAATAATGCTAATTTAAACACAACCAGTCCTGTGAGTGAGTCAAACTGTTGAAAACAGTGAGGACAGTGGTGTCTGCTGAGGAGAAGTGTTTACTTCCCTGAACAAATTTTCCAACCATTTGTTGCACAAGACTCGAAAAACCATCCCAGTCATTGTCTGATGTCAAGTGAACCTCTCGAGGTCTGTGACACAGTTCACATCGTGCATTCTAGGTTGCATAGCAGCCGTGAATTATGAGTCAATTATTACCACATTACTTTGACACTGAAGAAAATCTAAAAATCGAATTATTTTCAAGCAAGTTTGGAAGTGTTTGTTTTCCATGATTTCTAAAGGAACCAATAGACATTTAATCACAATAGGCATTGGAGAAAATGAAAGTTCACATGAAACAAATTCAAAAGACCCTAAAACAATCTCTCCCTCTGCATGCCCCTGGGAGGTTGTGGGCTTTGTCCCTCAGAATTCAATATCTTTTATAAAAAAACATACCCTATAATTTTCTGAATTCAACACCCCAAGATCACATGTAACATTTAATTCTCACTTCCTCATGTTATCTTAATCTTCCTACTACTCCAGCACATTTAGTTTTTTTATGCTAGAACACAAACACATGCATAAATGTCAAGTTAACCTCGAAGTGCTTCACTGACGTGATCTAATTAAGAGGTGGGTGCAGTGGAAAAAGCTCGGTGGATTGAGACACTGCCCCCTTGTTATCCAGTGTGGCTGATCAGCGGTTGCAGTGGACTCTGACCTACCCAGAAGCCATGTGATTTCCATCAGTGTGAGTATGTAAGAGCGACCGAGGCAGATCTGTCACTAACTTCTATATAAGATGACAGCAAGACGTACTCAACGCCCCCAGGGACAGAAGACGCTTGTGAGTACACGTCCACGTCTAAGACGCAGCCTGTTTTCTTGCAGTATAGTGAGTCATGAACTGACAACATGAAAATCTGTTCCTATTTTCTTTCCATGACCTCAAGTGATAACTCTGTTAAAAACACATCAGGTTTTCCTGTTGCATTTTTAGTAACTGGAGTTTGTTGAATACGCATGAATTAATCACATGGTCACTTGCACATGACATTTTCTGACTTGGTTAGTCACCATCATGAGATCCACGTGGAAAGCCACAACAGGCCAAGAAACAAAGCGTGACAACACATATGGTTTGTTGGATTCCTCAACAACGTGTGAAAGGGATGTGAAAATTGGATCAGCTGCTTGTCACACACCAGTGGCGTCTTCTGGGTGTGAACTGAAACGACGCTGGTTTTAGAGAAGCATTATTTTCCACCTGAGTGATCTCTGACAGAAACACACTTGTCCTTGACTTGACTCGTTACATCAACGAGTGCAGCGCCTGTTGTAAACCTGCCTGTTTGGAACGAGCTGTTTGTTTGACCTGTGGTGATGCTGGTGGCAGCTGCAGCTGGTAAAGTGCCCTGCGGTTATTGAGCCACAGCAAATAAAGACCTGCTGCAGAACTCAGTCCACAGAACCCCAAAGCTGCACCCCCCACTGCTGCACAAAGCACCACCTGTTTACGCCTGATGTGTTGTTCTGATCTACAATGTCGTTTACATTAATAAGTCCCAGTTGCCGCTGCTACAGCTGGTCGCCTATTTAATTAAAGTTTCTTAATGCCGAACGTATCGTTTGTTCAAATCGCATCAAATTCAAATCTGCACTTCCTTACACTTTCAACAATACACAAACCAAGTGTGAAGCAGATAAGATGAACACTTCTCCAGATATGTGAGCCACATACAGACAGATTTCTGGAATCAGAAGAGAGATGCATCTAGAATACTGCTCAGGTTTGTTACTGTAATGTCTCTGGCCTCTCTTGTCCTGCAGGTATGACCAGCAGAGGTGGAAGGATTTTGACGGAGTGTTTTGTCTTCAGAGGTTCATCAGACTGATCCAGCTGCAGCATGGCTCTGCTCGTCCACGTGCTGGCCTGTGCCTTCGGCCTGGGCTCTTGGGTGGCAGTGAACGGCCTGTGGGTGGAACTGCCGCTCATTGTCAACTCTCTCCCTGAGGGCTGGGATCTCCCCTCGTACCTGACGGTCATCATCCAGCTGGCAAACCTGGGACCTCTGCTGGTTACTCTCATGCACAAACTGTGCCCGGGTCGTCTCAAAGAGCATGTGGTCATTTACTCCATCCTCTCCCTTGGTGTTGTGTCCTGCATCCTGCTGGCTTTCTTCTGGGACACGACAACGGTTGTGGCCGGGGAATCGTACAGCACGGCCTTCTTCATCATCACCTTCTTCCTCTCTCTGGTGGACTGCACCTCCTCAGTTACCTTCCTTCCATTCATGATGCAGCTTCCAGCAAAGTATATCACAACGTATTTTATAGGAGAAGGACTGAGTGGTTTCATTCCCGGCGTAGTCGCTCTGGCACAAGGTGTGGGCATCGCCAAGTGTGTCATCTCCAATCAGACTGAGGGAAACCTCACAGACGTGTCGTCCTCACACACTGAGTATCTTCCTCCAAACTTTTCCACCGAGGTGTTTTTCTTCTTCCTAGCAGCCATGATGTCCGTAAGCCTAGCAGCTTTTGTCGCTCTGAACAGACTTCCTCGAACATACGAGCTGTCCACTGAAAACCTCGTGCCAGACACTGAGGCATCTGTCAGCTCCGGCCTGGACAACACCGGAGCAGAGACTGATGGAGTGGGTGTGAAATGCCAGGATGAGGGTGAAGTCAAGGGCAGGACTCTGCTGGCTGGTCCCAAACACTCCATGTACCAGCTCACCTTCATCTACTCTCTGGTGGTGTTGGTTAATGCTGCCACCAACGGCGTGCTGCCCTCCGTGCAGACGTACTCCTGTATGCCCTACGGAAACCTTGCCTATCACCTGTCGGCTGCTCTGGCATCAGTGGCCAACCCAGTGGCATGCACCATCGCAATGTTCTTCCCAAACAGGTAGAATTTGATGTTGTCTTTTATAGAGTTTTTAAATTCACAATGAAAAAGGTCATCAAGAGGTCTAAAGGTAATAAATGCATCTTATAAAGTTATCGTCTATCAAGAAAATTCCCTTGTTGTGTTTCTAGTCACTGCAGTTAAGGAAGCGAGCAAAGTCCAGGAAAACAGTAAAAGGGAATTGCATTTTTTTACTGGAGAATTCAGACGAGTGAAGTCTCATATTAACTTTGGAACTGGATTTTGGATTATAATGTAGCAACGAACAAGGACCATAGATTTTGTTCTGTCATTGCTTACATAGGAAGGTCATTTAATAATTATCTCATAATGGCCATAAGCAGGAGACAGATATGCTCAAATTGTCTCTAATCATGTTCAGAGAGAAACCGCTGCTGATAACAAACTTCGTGTCCTCAGGTCACTGGTGTTTCTCGGTGTGCTGATGACACTTGGGGCAGGATTTGGCAGCTACAACATGGCCATGGCAGCTATGAGTCCATGTCCGTTGCTGCAGGGTTCTGTGGTGGGAGAGGTGATCATTGTAAGTGAAAGAGGTTGTGTAAGAGCTGTGCAGCTTTATAGGGGAAATACTTGTGGCAAAGTTCAACTCCTTAATAGAAAACCTGATAGTTGAGCAACTCTGCTCTCTACCATAAAAGATGATGAGACTGAGATATCAACACTGTCTAATTTGTTTTTCGGACTCAAATGTTTTTTTCCAGGGCAATCTCTAGAGGAACTGCCTAAAATCCACTTTGCTCTTGTGCTCTGACCAGGTGCTGTCGTGGCTCTTCTTCACTGGAACGCTGTCTTACGTCAAAGTAATGGTGGGCGTCATCCTGAGGGACCACAGCCACAGCGCCCTGGTTTGGTGTGGAGCTGCAGCACAGACGGGCTCGCTGGTCGGCTCGGTCACCATGTTTCCGCTGGTGAACGTCTACCGACTGTTTAAGTCGGGAGATTTCTGCAACACCCAATGTCCTTTGTGACTTTAAATCTGGGAATCACGGAGGTGGAGACATACGAGCCACAGTGTACGACGATTTGCAATAAAAAAAAAAAAGTTTGTATCTGCTTGTATGGTGCCTGTGGAGGAAGTAGCACGGCTCTCAAAAGTCCCCCTGTCACCTCCTCTACGGCTTTCATGTGAATTTTGTCTGTTGCACAAACCACAAACTATTTCTTGACAACCACTCACCAGCCATGTAAGAACCACCAGGCTAGCTATTACCCTCCATTTCCAGTCTTTATGCTAAGCTAAGCTAACTGACTCAGGAGAGTGATATTGATGTAGAACTGTCTTTGACGTTCCTATGCATCTGTTTTGTTATGTTGCCTTTTTAAATTTTTATTTAGAGAGGACAGTAAACCTTAATTTACCTCCACCAAGAAAGTTTTGTCTTCACCCGTGTGTGTTGGTTTGTTTGTTGGTTTATTTGTCGGCTGGAGAGAAACTTCCACCAGACTCTGTGGAGGCATGAGGCCCTGAGAACAACCCATTACATTTTGTTGTGGATGCAGATTAAGGTGTAGATCCAGGATTTTTTCCCCCATGTTCTATAACATTGCAACTGAGGCACATTTTCCAATATTTTCATCCATTTGTCAGGGACTAATGCACAGATCACTGATCCTTGCAGATGATTATTTAAGCCATATTTGCAAATATCAGTTATATGTCTCAATGTGATTCAATTAACTATGATGGAAAAACTATAAACGTATTTAAATATAAAACATGCAAAGTTCAACTCTGAAGTCCAGCTCCTTTATTCATTCTCATGCTAAAAGTGCATTGCACCAGCTATGAGGTTCTTTGTCCACTAGATGGCGCAAGCACACCAGTTACTCCACATTCTGCAGGAACTCAAATCTTTACATATAAAATACATGTATTCTGTCAACATGAGAAAATGAAGCGAGCGATTTAATGCTGACAGTTAAACATCTATAACATATTTACCTTCAAACCAAATCATCAGATCATCATGTCAGAATAAAATGAGAAACAGTTTGAGAACACGTTGATGTTTTTTATCGATGTGAATAAAACAGAGAGTCAGAATTTGGACAGCTACATATGGTGTTATAATACCAACTCCAGCTAAGGAATACAAAAATGGATCAATGTAAAGTAAATGTGCTTTTGTTAAATACAGATGTTTGAATGTGAACGACACAGCACAGTGTAAGATAAGTCCTGCAGTAAATATTAACTTTGTCAAGCTTAAGTGATTCTCATCATGTTTAATTGTTATGATTGTGCTATAATTAATTGTTTTTTAAATGCTGGAAAGTAACTAGTTTTTCTAGAGGGTTGTACGTTTTCATGGGTAAATATTTTACTTTTCACTTGACATTTATAGTAATCTACAGATTCATATAACACAAAATATAATATAATAAATTATAATAAATTATGATGTTTAATCATTAAGTGTCCCTGCCGTCCATAAAGTTAGCCTCATCTACAAATTTAGTGACACATGAAGTCAATGATTAAAATCCAATATTAAAATATACATCATTCTGAAATGGGCCACATAAAGTACTTTTGGCACGTTTTAAGTATATTTTAATGCAAATACTTCTTCCACCACTGTAATATTTTGTCATCACACCTGAAAACTGATCTTTATTCACTCCAGATTTTTACTTTTAATTAAAGTGGTAATTGCAACCTTCATAAAGGCAGCATTTATTGCAGGTCCTGCTAAAATGATTGTCCACCCACTGTGATTTATTACTCATGTGTTAGTCCTGCAACAACACCTTTGAAATACAGACTGAACTGTACGTTACGTCATGGGAAAGAATGATAACAATCAAAAAGAAAGAGATAATCGCCATCAGCCACCATCAGCCACCATCACACGTCCTCTGAGGAGGACGCAGAGACGCTGGTCAACCATGGGAGCTGGAGAGTGTTTTCCCATCAGCAGCTGTTCCTCCTCTCTGCCCCCGTGCCCTTCAGAAGGAGAGCGAGAGGTTCCCTGGCCTGGGTCTGTAGGGAAGCGCAGGGAGGAGGAGGCAGAGTAGGGCTCTAATTACTGATGCTCAACGGGGGCCGATGGCTGTTGCTCCTGCCGCTGGTCATTTGGGAGCTTCCCTGACCCCGACACTGAGTAAAAACAAAAAGATAAGGAAGAGAAAATGGGGCCACAATTAGCCCTACGTAGCCTCCAGGGCCTGGGATCAGTGGAGGACAAGAACAGATGGGACTTTCTCACTTGGATTTGTTGACTCCACATTGCAGTGTGTGTAACAAAAATCACTGCAGTCACTTGCTGATGCAGATTTGAAATATGGGCTCACGTGAAATTATAATCACATTTATTCTTGTCATGAAATCAAAGATCCCAGCGTGAGAGCGTTCACCTGCAGATTGCATGTAAATTCTGTTCTCTTGCCGCCGACATGACCTTGAGTGTTTATGTGTAATCAGAGCGATTTTCTCTAAGCGTCATTAGCTCAACTCCTTGATTGACTCGGGGCTTTTGTGCTGAGACAAAACAAAGCAGCAAAGAAAAGTGTATCATTTTCTTGTGAGTGTCAGATGGTCCCATCGCTGCTCCAGCTGGACAGGAGGGGCTGTGGCCACCTGGATACTGTGTCCCGGTCCTGTGAGATCCTGCAGTCTCCTCTGCCATGTGAAGACTCCACTTACTACGCCACTGAGAGGTCCATCTGCTCAGGACGACACCTCCCAAAGAGCACACGGACCCCCCCGACTCCCCCCCATACACCACCTCACCCCCCCTCCCTCCCTCCCTCCAGCCATTCTCCGTGCCTCTCAGCTAAATGAGCAGTGTGTCAAATGGAAGGAGGATTTACCCTTCCTGTAACTGGATAAGAGAATGAATTCATTGCGCCATGATGCAATGAATGAATGGATCCACCTGCACTCCTGCAGCTCGGCTGCTGAATCGACAGATGTGTCACCTGCGTCTGACTTTGCAAGATCTTCTCCTTGTGGGGCCAGAACGCAGGCTCCTCCGACTGGCATGTTAACATCTGAGAGAGCCAAGTAGAAGCTCGGCCACAGGAAGGAAGGAAGGAAGGAAAACAACTTTTTTTAGGTCAACGATAACAAAACAACACGGAAAGTGTGGAAATTCGCTTGGGTGAACCTGCACACCGACAGATTTTGGCAGCTGATGTGCGAGTGAACAGCTTGTGGGTAAACCAATTGCTGATGCATGCAGACAATCCACAGCTCAGCCGGCACCTCACAGCCCTTCTCCCATCAATTTCCACACACACCTCATTTAATAAATGCTGTCTGTTGATTCAAAATTGGATGTGACAGCCCGATGTCATTTCACTACAGTGTCTTGGAGCAGACAGTGATGCACACAGGCCCACTCCTCGGTTTCCATCAGCAGGTATTGATGTTGCTTTAATGAAGTGCCTAGCACTCCACCCTAGGAAGAGACAAGTCTGTCAGCATATGTAAATGCTTCCTGCCTGTCATTGTTGTGGAGGGTTCAGCATGGGTCAGCATAGATTCCCCCTCTGGGAACCCTTTGTTCTGGGGCCCGACTGTGCCACATGAGGGGACCAATTACAGAGCTGCGCAGCAGGACGGGGGTGCAAACTTGTTACCCTGCTGTAGTGAGCTAATTATTACCTCCATTAATAGCCAGTGCATCATGGAAGGGAAACAAAAGCTGTAGCTTCTTTGAATGCTTATAGCCTCGAAATAAATGGTTTGCATTTCCTGTATACGATAATGATTTCTCTACTGTGAATTAGTTTATATTAAAAGCACTATTATCACCGTATGAGAAAAGGTCATCTTAATTTTCCGACCATAAATAGCTACTGAACTGCTTAAATCCCAATGGAGCTGCTTTGCATTGTCAATGCAAAGGCAATTTACAGGCTACAGACTGCCAACCACATAACCTTGATGTGGTGTCAAGAAATGATTTATGAAAATGCATCCTGCGCTCCCTGTCCCGAGTGAGACCTGGCTGGACCTGCAGTGTTGACACAAAGCCCATATGGCCCAGCAAACAGACACTCGCTGAATTATCAGTCCTATCACATCCACATCTTCACAGCTTCTGTTTCCACATCCTGACGAGACATTGGCAGACTGTCTCCCAACTAAATGTTTCACACGTGTGAAAGGAGGCCGTATATCGTATAAGTCAGGGATGTGGTGAAAAGTGATGAGCAGGTCGCCCGTCAACACACATGAGCGAGTGCATTGTTAGAAGTGTTTCTGAGGGCGAAGTAAAGGCCGTATTTTAGGATAAAATACTAAACACACCTCTTGATGAATATAGACGCCCTTCCCTTCTTGCTATTAGCCCCCGTCCCTTCCATCCAACCCATTCATCTCCTCCTCCCCACCCCCAGTGACCAGCCCAGCTGCTAGGGGCTACCAGTCCCCCTCGTGTGTGGGGCCAGTCAAGTGGAAAATGGCTGCTACCGAGAGAGCCCACTTTAGAGAGCCATCATCCTTTGAAGGGGCATGATGGCCTTTGACAGCCACAGTGTTAGCATGGAGCCCACACGAACACATCACTGCTATTATCGTGTTTACTAAAGCAAGAGCAGCGGAGAGGGGATCAAGGGGAGACCCTGTTGGTTGATGTTTGAGTCCAGGGGTGGCAGGGTTGCTCGTCTGAGCCACGCCGCAGTGGCATTGTGGGGAAACATGACATGGGATCACTCACAGCCAGGTGGAGATTGTATTTCAACACGCCAGTCAAGCTTCTAGTGAACGAGTCATTCTACGGCGATGTGTTGTCGTTGTTTTCCTCATGTCTTCTTATCTCGGGACACTTTCTACCTGCCTCAGTCTGATACCACGGCTTACATCGCTCCTGCTCTTTTTCTTCTTCTTCTCACAAATGTCAAATAAAAACCACGAGTCTGAAAATCAACGAGCGATTTGTTTTCTCACAACCTCTCATGCACGTTTTGATGCTTTCATACAGACGTCAAACAAATATCTTTAAATGAGCCAAACAATTTTTGCCACAAAAAGATTTTTTGTATTCTGTAAAGACGAAATTTAAACAGAAATTGAATTTGTGTTTAACTTAAGTACCGGGTGGCTGCAATTCTCAATAAAAAGTCACACAATTTTAGTGACTATCATGGACACAGTTGGGGACGTATAATGTGCGGAAAGTGTTTGCGAATCGCTGCTTATTTACTCATCCACCAGCTGTGGAGCAACTTCGTGAAGTGCAGGTTTGTCCACCTAAAGAAGCTCAGATGGACATTCACTGTCTTTTAGCTCAGTTTTTGGTCTCCACCAGAAAGAGTTTGTGGATCTTTAGCTGCTCATTGTGTTCATCAACATGTCGCAAAAAGCATCTGTTTGCTATTTGGTGCTAAGTCTGTAGCGGACATTGGGTTTTTCCATGGTGCCACCTGCATCCTTTACAAATTAACATAGTGCCATCATCCCTCTGTGGAAAAACTACCAAAAGAAAACATGGAAAACTCTTCAGGTGTTAATTCTTTAGTAAATTAATAATAACGTAAGTTTAAGAAATAATAAATTGACCTGCTGTTTTGGTGGAAGTGCTGAATTTCCAACTTATAGAACTTGTCTTGAGTATTTTGAGAACGGAAAACGTAACAAAGCAAATGAGAAAAACAGCAAAGTTAGCTGATGCTCTTATACGATGTGTTCAGGGATGCAGGTTGAACCAGCAGCAGATAAAAGTCCTTCTCTCGAGTGCTGATCTGCGGCTGTAACCGGACCAAGCTGCTCCCCCTGCTCCGG